TTCGAAGAGCTGCGCGTAAGCTGGCAGGGCGGACAGTCAAAGAACAGATGAAAGGCTTTCGAAGCTTTGGCGTGATGGCCGACTGGGACGGCCATTGGAAGACTATGGACAAGGAATTCGAGAAAAGACAACTTGGTGTTTTTCGGGAGATGGTGGATAAGGGATTGATCTATAGAAGGTTCAAACCTGTCTACTGGTCGCCGTCTACCGGGACAGCGCTTGCGGAAGCCGAATTGGAATACAAAGACGACCATGTTTCCACCGCTGCCCTGGTTAAATTTCCTCTCGCCTCAGTCCCACCACAATTGGCTCAAGACCCTCTGGTACAGCTTAAGGACCTCAGTGCCGTTATTTGGACTACGACGCCTTGGACACTTCCCGCCAACGCTGTGATTGCTGTTCACGAATCCTTGGATTATATGATCGTTCAATCGGATACTCACGGGCAGCTTCTTATCGCTCAATCGCGGTTTGAGTACCTCGAACATATGTTGAAGGAGGATCTGACCGTTATCATTCCGTCTATTCGTGGCTCAGAGCTAGCAGAGCAGACAATGTATCGACCGCTTTTCAAGTCAACCGACGCGAAACCGCAGCCGATCATAGCTGCGGATTTTGTCACTGCCGACTCAGGTTCAGGACTTGTGCATTGCGCTCCTGGTCATGGTATGGACGACTATGAGGCTTGTGTTCCTCGCGGCATCCCTGCGTTTGCTCCCGTTGATGACCATGGTAGATTCACCGACAAGGCCATGCCCAGTGACCCAGCGAGGCTGAGTGGGAAAAGTGTCCTGGGAGAAGGGACTGCCGCTGTGCTCGAGTACATTGAGTCGCAAGGCTACCTGCTGGCAAAACATCAGTACGAGCATAAGTATCCTTACGATTGGAGGTCCAAGCTTCCAATCATCATCCGAGCAACTGAACAATGGTTTGCGGATGTAGCAGACATCCGTAACAGCGCTGTAAAGGCTTTGGAGGATGTCAAATTTGTCCCCAGTTCTGGAAAGCAACGCCTGGAGAACTTTGTCAAGAACCGTAGCGAATGGTGCATTTCACGCCAACGTGCCTGGGGTGTCCCGATTCCCGCCCTCTATAATCGGGCCACAGGCGATGCTGTGCTCACCCGGGACAGCGTCTCGCACATCATGTCTGTGATCGAGGAACGAGGCATAGATGCATGGTGGACTGACGATATGAATGACCCTGCTTGGATTCCGCCCACACTGCGAGAAGAGCCCGGCTCCGGCTACAAGCGCGGCACTGATACCATGGATGTGTGGTTCGATAGCGGTACAAGTTGGACAGAGATCGACACCCCTCCTCGCGATGGATATCCGGCGGATGTTTACCTAGAAGGCACCGACCAGCACCGCGGCTGGTTCCAGTCCGGACTTCTCACATACATTTCCCATCAGCTTGCTTCGGGGCAAACTGCTACTCCTCGAGCGCCATTCAAGAATCTCGTCACCCATGGATTTACTCTCGACGAAGAAGGACGCAAGATGAGTAAGTCCATTGGGAACGTGATTCACCCACAGTCGATCATGGACGGAACCCTTTTGCCCCCCCTTAAGCCGAGGAAAGGCAAAGGGAAACAACAAGAAAACAAAGAGCCAGTATATGATGCTTTGGGACCTGATGCGCTTCGAATGTGGGCTGCAAGCAGCGACTATACACGGGACGTTGTGATAGGAAAACAAGTGCTTCAGACCGTCAACACCAGCTTGCACAAATTCCGTGTGACATTCAAGCTCCTTCTGGGTGCTTTGTCAGACTTCCGGCCACAGGACCAACTTCCGTACAGCCAGTTGCAGCAGGTGGACCGCATGGCGCTTTTGCACCTGTCCGAGATGGTCCTCACCTGTCAGAAAGCATGCGAGAATTTCGAGTTCTACAAGGCTGTGAACGCAATGAACCGGTGGGCCAATCTTCAATTTTCGGCCTTCTACATGGAGGCGATCAAGGACCGTCTCTATACCTATGGGGAGAGCAGCACCAGCAGACGCGCCGCTCAGACGACCTTGTTTCACATCTATAACTACCTTCAGGAAATACTGGCTCCTATCACGCCCTTGCTTGTGGAAGAGACCTGGGAACATACCCCAGAAGCCATCAAGCTGCAATGCGAGCATCCCTTGAAGCGTGTAGCCTCGACGCCTCCTATCGACTGGTTGGACCGGTCTCTTGAGGCTGATTATCAGGAAATCGTAGGGGTCAGTTCGGTCATCAAGGCTCTGCAAGAGCAAGCGAGAGGCAAGAAGCAACTAGGCTCTTCCCTCCAGTCCTTCGTTCATATCGTATTACCTGAGGGCAATTCGACAGGGTCCGCCTTGCAACGCAATCTGTCAGAGCTCAATGATATGTTCGTTGTCTCTTCAGTGACACTCGGCGCGCACGGAGAGCCTGTCCCGGCTGCCATTCTTGACGCACAGTGGCAGTACAGCGACGCGTATGAACTTCCCAGTGGCGGAAAGGGAACTGTGTACATCTACACGCCACAAGCGGATAAGTGTCCTCGTTGCTGGCGCTATGTTGTCCCAGAACCTCATGCGGATGGCACACTGTGCAATCGTTGCGAGGATGTTGTGCGAGACCTCGATGCGTCAACATCTGGCGAGACTGTTACTAATGGCACTACCTAATTCCTTTTCTGATCCTTGCGTCTGCTTCTCATTCGACCATCGGCTCTTACCCGAATCTAGGGAGCCATGTACTATTGGTTTCCCGAGCTTGATTATGTACAGTAACCCCCTCCATTCTGGTTCCAAATTTAGGTAGCATTACAACGGATGTGGACCCCGCAACACGTCAGGGATTGAAATAAAACCTAGCCTACGAGAGGTATCCAAATGGTATCTTTTGATGTTCTTAGTTACAGAACGCAAGGATGTTCTTGAGAAGAGGCAAGGCAGCAGTGGTATGATGCCGCCCACTTCGCCGTGGCAAGGACCTTAGGCAGTTGTAGTTCAGGTAATCAACCATCTTGTGACCAGTAGCTCATATTTATCCAACATCCAGCTGCTTGCGGCCTGCATCCGCTCTAGAACCTTGGCGATTATAGGTGCTGATGAGTGTTATTGGTTGTGAAATGTTTTGCTGCACGAGTAGAAATAACTTCCCAGTTTTTGATGACGCCACCATCGAGGTCAGCATGACGATTGCTCCTCGTAGCCCGCAAATCAATTCCCACAGAGAATGAGCCCAGGCAGAATGACGACAATTGTGCCACGAAAGCTCCTCTTTTAAATTGATGTTAGCGGAGATGAATCTCGTTTTGACGTGTCGATCATCGAACTTGGTTATCCAGTGCCCGATCAGATCAGCTATTGATCATTCTTCCCTGGAGCTATAAAGAGCGGAACAGCGATAACTCTTGACACTAACGAACACATTTGGAGGCAATACCGCGAATTTGCACTATTCAAGATGTTCGACTCAATGTTGTCTCATACGAAGCGCCCGTTTCCCTTGCCTACTTCGACCTCGTCAGTAGGTCCAGTACCTACCGTTATTCCCGGGGATACTCCCATCTTTCAGGAACTCGGAACGACTGGCAAGCGGACATTATGGTATGCGTCTTCTTGACGGATTTCGCCAAAAGCATGGCTAATAGGCTCAGGGTGGTTACGGTTCTCATGGGACTCTCGTCACTGGTCTTCTACACGCTTAGTGCTCGGGTGCCGTTGGTATGTACTAAACTGTCGTAGTCATGGACTGGAACTCATACATCGCAGTCAAAGCGCGTCTTCCACACATTGGTCTCCATCATGACCACCGTCTCATTCATCGTCTACCTTGCCCTCGCAACGGGAAGCGGCATGGCCTGGAAACACGACTCTCTCAAGCATACCCACAAGCATGTCCCCGATACCACGCAGGATTACTTCCGCCAGGTGATGTGGCTGCGCTACCTCAACTGGTTCGTGACCGAGCCACTCAGCCTCATCAACCTGGCGTTGGTATCGGGTCTTCCTGGCGCGCATCTGCTCGTCGCCATTGCTGCTGATTATGTTATGCTGGGCTCCGGACTGCTTGGCACCTTCGTAGGCCATACGTCGCGCAGATGGGTCTGGTTCACCGTCAGCGCTCTGGGTTACCTGACTACGGTTTACCATGTTGCCATCAATGGAGGCAAGGCGGCAAATAACAAGGATGCACAGACTAGACGGTTCTTTGCGTCTTTGTCTGCTGTGACTTTGATTGTCAAAGTGCTGTACCCAATGTATGTGACGGACCTTTCAAACAATGCGGAAGTGAGTAGCTGACAAATTTAGTGCTCTCGCGGCCGGTTGCCTGGCTTTGAGAATGAATGTCGATACCGAGACGGTTGTCTTCGCCATCTATGACATCTTCACCCAGGGCTTACTCGGGTACTGGTTGATCCTGGCACACGACAGCGCTCAGGGAATGTAAGTATATGTTTTGCATGACGCTCATACCTGATATATGTCAAACTAATTCTTCTCAGATCTCTCTACGTTGACGGATTCTGGTCTAATGGCATCGGAAACGAAGGAGCTATTCGGATCAGCGAGGAGGATGGAGCGTAAGCTTAATGCTTCGTGAATCAACTGAGCCACGGGTTCAGCAGCAATTGCACGGAAGTGCGATGAACGCTATCACGAAGGCCTTACTAGTGAGAGTAGGAGAGGCGGACTGAGTTTCTGAGAACATACATCAGCGTGTGTTTCTCTCTTGATGAATTGCTATTCTGTGTGCGAATGTATCCGCGAGTCGGTTCAATTGTTACCTAGCTTTGATGATCAGTGATCGTAAAGAATGTATAATACGTTTTGATAGGTCGAACAGATCGGGTTCTTTAGTTTCTTATTTGGAGTACTTGCTGCTCAGCTACAGATCTCCGACGTCTACCTAAGTTCTCTGCTTGGTTAATTCAATAATTACAGCAGCTTCAGCCATCGACATTCACGCTACTATGACCCAGACCCAGACTATGACTGCAGCCCCGAGAAAGGGTAAAGAGTAGAGGATACCGTTTGCTAATGATTAGCCTTTCTTCCCTGATACATCTCTCCATCTGTGTCTCGCTTCTTCACGGAAGCCTTCCTCCGGAACGGGTTCCGCAGAGGAAGCTGCTTAAGGCTCTCAGAACCACGGAACGGCATTTCCCCAACTTTCTTCCCGCCCTTTAGCTCGATAACCTTCAACTCTCTGAGCGGGTCGATCCTGCGAGCGGGCACCGGCTCCATCGATACATCGCGCGGGTAGTGGATCGCCACCTTCCTCATCGGCCAGGGCAGGTAGAAGCCGGCATCAACGCAAAAATCCTTGAAGTTTATGCATTTGAGATGCTTGGGGTCAAACCAGTGGATGAAGGGGTCAGCATCGACCACGAAGCCGGTCAGGGTCAGCGTCTTGATGGAGAGGCGGTTCAGCGTACGGCCCATGACCATGGCGCGGACTTTGGCTTTCTCAATGGCAGTTTTGTCGAGGTACTCGCCGGCTCCGATTTTGGGGTCGAGGGTTCCATCGCCTGCATGGCCGCTGTTGGAGCATCTTAGCTTGTATCCTGCTTTATCACTCTGGAGTCAATCGAGGGGTAGCAAACTTACTAGTAGACTGGCTCGCTGTGATGTGCTCCATCAAGCATCCAGCCGCCCTTGATATAGGGCCATCTCTTACTAGCCCTACGGCGGATCCTAGGCTCAAGCGCCATCCCCAGCTCTAGCTCCTCGAGCTCGGTATTGAGCCAGGCGGCCTGCCAGATATACTTCTGGTACGACTGCATCATCCCCGTGATTTTCAGCGTGCGCAGGTTGCGAAACTGGCAAAGTGGAGCCATTTCTTCAATGTTGAGCATGTTCTCCTCGACGTCCTGGCCCTCTTTGACGGGCCAGAAGACATCGATTCCTAATGCAGTCAGGTCCTTCGGGAGGTGGTTCCAGGTTGCTCCGCCGCGGAAGTATATGAGAGGTCTTGCTGGTGTGCCTGGCTCCAGGGGGGTCGGGGTAGCCAGGACGGACTCGATCTTCTCGTTCCTCTTGCTACTTGCCATATTGAAGGGGGTGCGGAAGCGGCGACGGCGGGTTTCTGACGAGATACTCGGGGCTCGGGTTGGGGAGCGAGATTGAGAGCGTGAGCGCGAGCTTTTGCCCAGATCGAAGAAACGGCTTTGAGAGAGTGAACTTCGAGCGCTGGAGAACGAGTTGAAACCCAGCGCGTCGCTCATGCTAAAGCGACGGCGTTGCTTTTTTTGGACCTCTACTTCCTTCGCAACGTCCTCGATAGGCGGGAGTCTTGCAGGAGTCAGGTTGAAAGGAAACCTCAAATGTAAATGTAAAGCTGAACTGCGATCTAGATTGTCACGTTGACAACGCATGAGCATTCATTGTTAGGACGAAGGTTGCGGTAATGGGGCAGGTATAGGCAAGAAGGAGGAGGAGGAGCTTACTGGCTTCGATGCTGTCGTTGATGGGCTGGTTGAACCGCTCTGCGTCTTTCCAGAAAGCTTCGCCGAGGAGTGTTGCTTTCCAGTGCGAAGGGAAGTCTTCGGTTCTGTTTGTTTCCATTCCAGCAGTGAGATGCGTTCATCAAGTCTTGGTCTCGAGGGCTACCCAAGATCAGATGAGTGTCGGGATGGATAGCGATCAGATAGATGGCACAATTCAAGGAAGGCTGAAAGTGGGATCTGTTGTACTGGCAAGTTTGAGAAGAAGGATAGAAACAAAACAGCTCTTGACTTTGATCAGTGCTCCTGTGAGGCGCGCTATGGCTGGTAGTGAATACCATTACTGTTGTGTGTCAGGGTAATTGAAGACCCTTCTGCCATACCCAAAACATAACCATTACTGGTAGACTTCCACAAGAATGATCATAGTATCTGATTGTAGGTAAAACTCACGTAGGGCAAAATTTGCCATGAAACAAACTATACAAAGCCTTGTCCGATGTTGTCTTTCAAGCATCTCAAATCTCAGCTCAAAGTCTCATATTTCCTGGAGTGCTCTGTTTGGGCCTCTGTTTCCATCTGTTGAGTGCTAATGTTGGAGTGAGTGCTGCAGAATGATGGACTGTTAGGTTCTATTAGTTCAATTCTTGCTGATAGTGCTGACACTGCTGAAAGAGAGAGGCTGTTCTGGTTTGTTCTGCTCCTCTACTGATGGATATAAATACACTTGTGCAGGGGGAGCGGCTACGGAGCCATAAGGAAGCCTCTTCTTCCGATCCTGTGCCTATCATTTGAGTTTAACTTTCGGTGAGTTGATGCAGACATTGCGCTGTCAGAAATTGTCATGTCTAGTATGATATAGCCCTATGAGACCGCTGGGGTTGTTGGATGCATACTGAATGTACAGGGGAAGGCTCATCTAGGCTGGACAGATCCATGAATAGAAACACTGTTCCAGGATGAGCAAGTTATCTTACCCTTTGGTCAGCTTCAATATCATCTGTCAGTCCTTAGCTGTTTGCTCCCATGCCTGTGTGGGTTCTCTCGATGTCCTAACTTTGAGTCATGTGTGATCCAGGATGATCGACATTGATACATTAATATCTCCCTATCTGTATGGTGCCCTTCAGATTGTTCTCATTGACCATCGCTAGTCCTTTCTCCTCCGAAACCGCAATGGAACATCCTCTCTCATCGATAGTGTCAGCACTGAGGTGCTCTCTCGCAACACTCTTTCCGCATCCTTACGACCTTCTGGGCTGTCATCTGCCAATTCGACCTTATAATCCCGGGAAAGAGCTGACAACGCGGCAATAAATTCGACCTGGGCAAATTTCTTTCCCAGACAAGCCCGAAACCCATCGCTGAAAGGAATGAATGCCCCCCTTACCGGTTTGTGAATGGTAGGATACTCTAGACCAGGTGCAGCAAGTCCAGGTGTCGACGCATTCTTTGCTAGAAAGCTGTTCTGATTTCTTGCGTCCCATCTTTGAGGATAGAATGTTGCAACATCTGGGCCCCAGTATTGTTCTGAATAATGGAGGCAATTTGCGTTGAGATTAACGTTGACTCGCGGCGGTAAGAGGTACTGCTTGCCTTGATAGTTGAGGGGACTTGGGGTTTTGGACGTGCTTTTAGGTACCGTCACTACAGGGGGATAGAGGCGGAGGACCTCAAGCTGTGTTTAGGTTAGAATAGTGTGCAGAATGACTAGGACGGGACAAACCATCACGCATAACGGTGTAATCAGCTTAGGGAGCATGCGATGATAATCCCATTGAGCAACATCTTCAGGTTCACCGTGGGCCGCCTCGAGAATGCCTTCGTATAGCCAGTCTTGAACGTCCGGGTGTAATGCCAAGAGTAGCAGAGTAAATCGCAAAGAGGTTGCCGTGGTTTCGTGTCCTGCAATGGTGAAAATATGCATATTCCCAATTATTTCCAAATCGGTAAGGCCAGTGCCTTTCGAGCTCCCATTTGCTGCCACTTTATTTCTGGACAATAATAGTCCCTGAATCAAGTTTTGACTGCTGTCAGCTGTCTTCTCAGCTTTCCCAATGCTGATCAATTTCCGCAAATAAGCCTCTAAGTCCCTATGGGCTTCAAAGTCCGATTTGAGCCATGGAATCAACGCTCTGGGAATCCATTTTGGTATGACCATAGTTGCCAAAACCACCGTCATGATCCTTAAATTCATGTACGCCACAGCAGACCGGAAGCTGAAGCTGAACCCCTCTGGAGGTTTTGCTGTATCTTTGAACACGTCATTGGGGTCGTTGGACGACTCTTGTGGCAATTGCTTGAAGGGAAGTTTTACCCCGAAGCCAGCACCAGAGAGGACATTCAGACTGAATTTTAGGAGGTCTCCCCTCGTACTCGCTACAACGAACCCGTGCAGCTTCTCTGATGTGCCAGCTATCTGCCAGTGATGGAGCATCTCTGTCATCTGACGGATAGACTCTTCCCAGACAAGTGCACTATTTTTCTCGTTGAAGGTTGGTGCTGTGTGGCGCCTGTGATGCGCCCAACCTTGGTCTTCACACTACTCTTGAGTCAGCCAGCAATTAGGGCCTCAAAGACATAGTCCAAGAATGTAGCTCCTACCGTGAGTAGATTTGGTCCGTACAGATTAAGAAACCCTGTCTGCATCGTTAATTCCTGTCCGAGAACCGATAATACAGGTGATTGGTTGCCGGAAGAGCTTACCATATTGCCAAATCGGCTTGGGGAAGCTCTGACGTGCATTGCATATCTGTGTGACGAGGTGAGCATCTGCAATATGGCAAACTATATTCTCCGCTGTGACGACCATATACATTTTCCCTAGCTTTTTTACACGTCGATCTTTAACGGTCCATCGATAATCATAGGTGTCGTCGTTTATGATATCGGCCAGCCAGTCAGGGAGCCAGTGGTTGATGATATACGGCAGCCATCTAATACTGAGCAGTATTTTCACCTGCAAACTATTCCCAGCGAATGGCAACACGGTGTATGGAAGACCTGTGCGCTGAGCTAGGCGGATGTTCTTGAAAAGACGACGAAAATAGTCAAAAGCATACAGACCTGCGAGGCCCAGTAGTACTGACGACCAGATCATGGTAGGCAGGGCAGACCCTTTGCAGCTGAAGAATACAGAGTGGCATACGGGTACTTGTATAATGTTCAAATTGGAATGTAAGAGCTCCCGCTGAACGATCTGGAAAGAAAAAGAGAGGAAATATGAGCTCAAGTGCCCCGCTGGAGGTCGCCAACCTGGGAGATGCATGGCTATCACAACAGTCACACGTTCAAGCATCTCTATTGGACGGATCTGGAATGCCAAGTTGTTGATCGACAACAGGCTGATGAAGATATAAAGCGATTAGTATCCTAGGCCCTAGAGAAGTGGATCGCTTACAGCAGCGTCTCTTCCTCCATGAAGAGGCGATATGCAAGCGCTACACTGAGAGGTCTGGCAGACTGGAGTATCTCCGTTCACAGGGGCATCGTCTCAACAAGAAACGCTCAGTATCCCTTCTGAACCAGGGGCATGCTATTAAGACACAGTACTACCGCGATAGATGACTTCCTCGAGGTTTGTTAGTCAGTCGTGGTTGTATGACATTCGGGTGTATCGCATTCGGGTGTTTGCTTGATCGACGGCGGGAAATAGAGAATGCGAGACACGGCGAGTCAAATAGTACTTGGTTCTGTCCCATGCGGTCCTTCTACTATTACAGAGAGCTCAGACACAACTAGTTGTAATCCTGACAAGAGGCTTCGGCCAGTTGACGTTCAGCTTCTCTCTTAACCTCGTCTCGGTCAAAGGAGTCAAGACCCTTAGTCTCAATTAGATGGTCAACAGCCGCGCGCGCAAACCCTGTGAGAATCCCCATAGCCTCAGCGTGGGTAGCGGGCTGACCTATAGTTATATTACTATACCTGCGCCGGAATAATCCACATCTTTTCTTTCATGAGGCATGGTGCTGTGACAGGATATAACAAACCATTTCTATCAATATGCTGCTCATAACGTCTGGCAGCCTCATAGGAAGCAGCAGCAGCAACCGCCTCCCAGCCTTTTTTGCCTTCGGCTCCGCCGTATAGTTGTTCGTAGGCCTGAGCCTGCTCACTGTCGGGGACCGGAAAAATATACAAGGCTGGTCAACTGCGGTCACAACATAGAAACTGGATAGAATGGGAGCACTACTGAACAAGCCCATGATGTCAAGGTCACAGGAATTGGGAATGAAACAAAGAGTAGAAAGATCGATTGAGAAGGTGTGTTGATGGACAGAAGAGGAGAAGACAGGATAACGATGGTTTCATAGTCTGTATAGGCCGATCTTTCGGAGGTCAGGGCGTGGTAAAAGATGAGACGATGGAGATATATATCTTCAGTCAAACGAGAAAAGCGACCACACCACGACACACTTCCTTACAACTTCAAGAGCTGTCAAGCCAGATATGCAAGTGTATCCATAAGGCTGTCGCATTCATTGGAAATCAAACAGAAGAGAGAGATCCAATCCTTCGCCTACATGGTTTGCTATTCCACCACACTACAGAAAATGATACGTGGAGCGTCTAGTTTCTGTGGATCAATATCGGTTCCACATCTGAAAGCAGGTAGCTTGATGTGAGAAGTCTAGATGCTCGCAGTTGTAGCATTTCCACGTGCTACCGTGCTGCCTTGGATTTCGAGACAATTTACGAACATGGCGAGCCCTTGTTGCCAAGTAGGTATGCTTCGGATCTTGGAACCAATGACCTTGATCACCACTACTAGCACGAGGCGGTGATGCAGCACTTATGATGATTCCTCATGTTTGCTCACGGAAAGAAGCTAGTGGTCATGACTGGCGAATGGGTAGCTTTATTGACTCAACGCTATTTTGCTTTTGTTTTCCCTTCCCGTGATAAATACATCCATGGACACCATAAGTAGCGTAGCCGAGCGTGATCGAAATCAAGTCCTGTCTAGCATCCCCGTTCTTCCAGCCAAGAAAGAAAAAGTTGGAACCCGTAGGAAAATAGTCCGATCAAAAACAGTCATGCAAATTTATCCCGTCACAGCACTAAATTAGTACTTCTTGCCCTGGCGCAGAACATCACTGAACTCCTCCAGAGGGCTCCGGATGAGCTTAGTCTCCTTCCACAGGTTGGGGGTGAGGAAGCCGTAGGTGTTGACGACGGCAAGGAAGGTAGCCTTGAGGGTGTTCTCGAGGGTCTTGGTGGAACCGGAGGACGAGGTGTAGGCGTCCTGGACACCGGCAAGCTGGAGCAGACGCTTGACAGCGGGGGAGGCAACGAGACCGGTACCACGGGGAGCGGGGATAAGCTATTTTCGCGGTTAGACTTGTGATATTCTGCAATACACAACTATCGCATTCGATCATAACGTACTCTGACGGAGACGGAACCACACTTGGCGCTCTGCTTGACGGGCAGAGAGTGAGGCTCACCGAGGTTGGTACCCCAGTAACCTCTCCGGACGGGCAGAACGCTGAGCTTGGCAATAATGATAGCGGCACGGATGGCGGTAGCGACTTCCTTGGAGGTCTTGATACCGAGACCGATGTGACCCTCGGAGTCACCGATGACAACGACGGCCTTGAAACGGGTACGCTGACCGGCACGAGTCTGCTTCTGGACGGGCTTGATCTATAGTTTCATAACCGTCAGCAACTGCTAATTACGCCCCAGTATATCACGAATATTCGCCCAATCCATCCAATTCGAGAACCCCATTTCATTTTCCCATACTCCACGAGTTTGTCATGCACAATTGCTCCCTAGAGGATATTCGCAAATGAAATTGTTCGTTTCGTACCTTCATGACCTCATCCTTGAGCTTAGGCAGGAAGAAGTCGACAATCTGGTACTCCTTGACGGGCAGAGAGTGCAGGTAGATCTGCTCCATGCTGGTGATCTTGCCGGCCTTGACGAGACGGCCGAGCTTGGTGACGGGCTGCCATTCCTTCTCCTGCTCCTTTGCGCCGCCGCGACGACCACGACGGCCACGGCCACGGCCACGGTCACCACCACGGTCACCGCGCGAGCCAAATCCTCCACGTCCACGGGGAGCGTCAGCCATTTTGTATGTTGATGGCGATTGAGAATGAACCGGGGGGAGAGGTGTAACGGACGGGAGGTGTCGTTCGGGAGGGGTTGTCGACGTCGAGGTTGACTTTGCTCGCTATCCACAGCTGTTTTGGGCCCAACGGAAATTTCGCTGGCGGGTGTGCTAAGCGAGCCAACAAGCCCTACGAGCGGTAACCCTATGCCCTAGCGGGTAGTCCCAATACGGTAAGCCGATCAGACCCGCATCATGTGACGGGTGGACTCCTCCCTTTATGATGTTTATGATGTTTTTTCTCCAATAGTTTGCGGGCGTGGCGCTGATTTGTCCATGTTTTCCTATTTGAGCAGTGCGGTTACTAAATCTCCCAGCTGGGCTCCATTCTTTTTCTTATCGGTGAGAGTCTCGATACTTATCATCGGCTCCCCCATGTTTTTATTTTTCTTGGAGTTCTCATTGTCGCCTTCTTCTTCTCCTTTCTGAAAGAGGATCTTTCTTTCTGAAATCCTTTTCTAACACCGTCGGTATCAATTGGATTCCCAGATAACTTTTTTACGTCAGAAATGTTGCGGTGGTACGTTGACATCCGATTGCCGTTCAATTGATAGAGCTAAGATCTCTTCTAGGTATCAGACCAAGTTGGCTAAGCAGCCCATCCTCACAGCCAGCGTAACAAGTGCTGTATGATTCCTCCCTGCGACGCTCGAAATGATTCCGGTTGACACAAGAATAGGTGCTTTTCGGTTGCGGAGATATTCTGGCGCAGCAAGCTGTTGATCGCAAGGGCTTCGATAAGCATGACATGGCAAGAACTGGACGAATGGCTCTGTATGGAGGAGGTGAGTTCCTGGATACGGAATACGAACACCCGTCTTCCTCGAGTCTAAGTCGCAAGAGTCTGTCGCTAATAAGAATATCTAGCGATCTTTGGACCGGCCGCGACCACATGGTTCGCCTTCCTTCAACGAAACGTCGTTCTGAAGAGCCACAAAGCTACGATAGTTGCGCGCGTTATCGCAGACCAAGGCCTCTTTACCCCTACCCACCTGACCTGTTTCCTGACATCAATGGCAATCATGGAAGGCACGGACCCCATCGAGAAATGGCGTACCAGCTTCCTTCCCAGTTACAAGGCGAACCTCACTATCTGGCCTCTAGTTCAGGGCATCAACTTCTCAATTGTGCCTCTAGAGTATCGGGTCTTGGTAGTCAACGTGGTCAGCTTAGGTGAGTTGTGTCCAGCTCAATCATCTCTCTTTCACTCCGCTAATACGTCTGGATCAGGCTGGAACTGCATATTGAGTTTGATCAACAGCGGCGAGAAATAATATCCTTACGATTTGGAGCATTGCGCGTCAGGATACCCCTTTCTGTACAACTAGCATTTATCTTTTGGTCGGTTTCTTTTTTTCTTGCTGGTTTGATAGAGTGTTCATTTCACTCATTGTATGGGCACAGTGTTTTAGATTTTCCTCGGCAAGCGCAGCAATATCTACTTATGATTCTTACAATGTTTGGATTATGGGACTGGCTGTTATGAGGTTTCTTAACGATTTATAATGCCGGTTTCTCACAAGGTCATAGGAGATTCTGCGAATCTCATTCATATTTTACCTTAGATTTGGTTCGCTTTCACCTTAGAATAGAATGAGTATATCTATATGAGATCAATATCTAATTTCTCTAGCATATCACTTGGACATCAAAATTGGCTTGAAAATAAGATGGATGCTCTTACAACCAACTCTTTGTTAGGGTTCAGTCTGGGCGGCAGCCTATTAAAGGCCTAGAAACGGGCCGAGTCCCAAAAGGGTAAAGTAGCACTTTCAAGCTGCGGCATCTCCAAACGCTTCAAAACTTCATCATTATTATTTTCGCAGACTGCAACACCGCCAACACACGACTACCGCTGTGATTCTGCCTGGAGCAGACAACAAACGACTGCGTGATCCCTGCGCACAAGCCGATTCTCCTCCACCTCTACCATCTCGGACTTTCGCCTCTGGATCGCTCCTTCCCCGCGACCCTGTCAAAAATTGACTCTCACACCAAGACTTTTCTTCGCCCCTCCGACAACTCACGTATCTCTCTCTCTTCCCGCTCTCAAAGTTCGATCGACTGAGACTCTTACGAATTGTCTTTCTTCTCAGATTCACAAACCACAATCATAATGGCTGAAGTCGCAGAGAACGGTCCTGTGCCGGTGAACGACGAGAACACCGCTCCTGGCGCCGCTACCGAAGAAAAGGAGCAGACCGAGAAGACCGAGCAGACAAATGGCGATGCGGTCACAGTATTCCATGACCCCGAAAATTTCAACGTGAAGCATCCGCTCATGCACGAATGGACTCTCTGGTTCACGAAGCCCCCCAGTGGCAAGGTACGTGCGATAGCCATCGATATAAGGGTAGACCCGCTAACACCGTTTGATTTGCAGGGCGACAACTGGAACGATCTGTTGAAGGAGGTCGTGACTTTCAACTCGGTTGAGGAATTTTGGGGTATCTACGTACGTCATTTCATTATCGATGCCTGACTGGTGAGCTATACTGACTAGGTGTTACTGAATAGAACAATATCACACCGACTTCTGAACTGGGTCTCAAGGCAGACTACCATCTCTTCAAAAAGGGCATCAGACCAGAGTGGGAAGACCCCCAGAACAAGCACGGTGGCAAGTGGTCATACTCGTTCAAAGACAAGCGCTCCGTACCGATTGATGATCTTTGGCTTCACGCTCAACTGGCAGCTATCGGCGAGACTCTTGAGAACGATGGCGACAACGAGGTTATGGGTGTGGTCGTGAACGTGCGTAAGGGATTTTACCGTGTTGGTCTGTGGACACGGACGGTGGGCAAGAGCATTCCCGGCGACAAGAACGGCCGGACACCCGCTCAAGGGAAGGAGATTCTCGAAAACATTGGTCGGCGCTTCAAGGAGGTGCTACGCCTGAAGGAAGCCGATGTCGTTGAGTTCTCGGGGCACACGGACAGCGCACACAGCGGTAGCACTAGAGCCAAGGCCAAGTACACCGTTTAAACGGCCATTTGCATGGATACTCATATCGACTTACGATTGACAAGAGGAACGTCTCTTCGGCGTTAATGAGATGATTCTGTAATTACGGACGATGACGAATGAAGTGATAGCTTGAGGGACAGAATATCCGGGGAGACGACACCCCACATCTGGATTTTCAGCATTTTCCTTCGATGGCTTTCTTGTGGCAACTGGCGATGTGTATCGTATCTTATCCTCAAAACGCATTTCTGACGGGTTTATACCATTATCTCTCTGGGTCCATGGAAGGAAGAAGAAAAAGATAAAAAAAAGCGTTTTTACTTCGCATTTTGTCCTCAAAGTGTGGTGTTGATTTCGAACAGTTCTTATAGATAGTCGATACCGAATATGTTAGTAATGATTCTATTATATACTTCTTGCCTTCTAAAAATTCTTGCAGTGAGCTTCCTAGCATCCGTAATTTCCCTGAGATGGAAGGTTATAGGAATAGCAATAGGTAGTATCTCGACTGCAAGAAGTAAAGGCAATGATGCCGGACACAGGCAGCAGGAAGCCTGATGTTCTAAGTATGAATCTGGCTGACTTCCAGAAACTGCTCCTTCATGAAGGAGTCGTCTGCCAGTCCTATTTCCTTCCTTCTTCTCCATCCCCGTATAGTTTCCTCCATTGCCGTCAACGTACCCCGACCCCAACTGGTCGTCCTGGTCTGTTGTACCGTTGTTATCATTCTTCACTCTCCATTGCTGTTGCCCTTGGTCCCATCATGAGCCAAATACCGTGTCCCGTTCCCCTCTTTTTCTGTCCTTTTCCGTCCTCCAACCCAGATATATACACTCCCGGAGTGCCTTAGGTGATTCACAGTGGCTGTTTTTCTCTCTCCCCACTGTAGATCCTTAAACCAAGGCGGCTTAGATGTCCACTTGTTCACTATCTGAGATCCTTTAGGCTTGGTTTGTGGGTAAGTAGGTTTTCGGATTCAATGTGACGGTGTTGCGTCCTGGAGACAATATATATCTCTCTGGCGGAGACTGTTTGTAAGACATTGTTAGGGCTTAAAACTCATAATTTCCTATCTATTTGATTGTGCTTATGGCACGTATAGAGACAATTAATGGTACAACGAGATATAAGATATTTGCAGGGAACTGTGAGTGTCGTACGTTGGAGGAATATAAGCACTCCTTGGCCGCCTCTCAAAACCGTCTACGACTGGTCCAGCATCCAGTTTTCTGTCAGGTCTTTGGCCCGTGTTGTTACATACAAGATCAGGTGTGATCATGCTAATCAGACTCTCGGTGTTCAAGCAAAGCCAGGCTCATGCAAGAGAGTGGGTGAAAAGTATACTCTGCGGTGTGCTGGGAGTCATCCAGAGCATTACGATGATCGAGAGGTCGACATGCGCATATGGATTTTGCCAAAGGAATTTAAAAGCAGAGCAGGTCCTGCCCAGGTTCTTTTCCTTCAGCTACAAGTAGGCAAAGTTGCACTTCAACTGATGTGATTACCACTGCCCCGATGTCGGACAGGGACCGGTATATAATAATGACTCACAGGGTTTTACTCCAACTACTCCAAACACTGGCGATGTCGACGAGTACCCTGCAGAAGCACCCACAGCCCTATGAACTGTAGGTGAGATCGGTGTCGAAGCAGGCATATCGCTGGAAACAATTGAGTAATAGGTAAACCCAAGCTGCTTGTAGGACAGCATGCTCCGTACTACAGAGCCAAAACCTTGGACTCCAGATGTTGGTATACCCACAAGCGACGAGAATAACAACTGCTGGCAATGACTCACGATCAACATTTGATGATCTTGATCGCGGTGGAGGTCCGGAGTGTGGATCCATGAAACTGAATCATTAGTATTGTCGCAACTGTGCTCCGTATCTGTGCTCCGTACAGAGTCGATAGATGCACATTGAGACGCATCCCAGGCCTTCAGTATACTGTTTCTGAGCCCATAAGGAAGTGCAGCGTTATGCTGCCAGGTCTGAGAGTCAAAGTCGTTGATCGTCTTGTGGAATTCAACAGGACAGTTAACGCCGGGTTTTGTCAAGAACTCTTCTCTGTGTCACTCGAGATCTATAGTGCGAGGGAATATAGCTGACGTGCAGCTCACATTGCAATTTGCATCGGAGGGGACATCGCGAAATGCCATATGATGCGCAAGGTTGTATCCGATGCTCAGGGCTACCTAGAGTAAAACAACACCCCATCATACTTACACTCCGGTCCAATCAACACAATCTTATCGCCTGGAGATCGGCATGTGCAGTTTTACTCTGCCGTTGAATTAGACTCATAGCCAAGAAGTCAAGAAAGCCCAGAGTCTTGGGATTCTTGGAGGTTTGACAACCCCAAGCACGCCATCGATCATCGTGGCCGGTGTCGGTGTGTACATCCTACCGGGTTCTCAGTACGCAGTCGACTCTACACTGGCACCGCATGATCCCCCAGAGCCAACCGGTCTAATCTCAGCACACGAGACCATCAGCTGGCTGCTGCCTCAAACATAAAGTTGGCTTGCGCCGCCTCCCTTCACGCTGGTAGGCAGCTATCATGCCCTTCGGGGGAAGAAGGCCACCGCCAGACTTGGCTCGCTGGAGTCACCAAAGCGGAAACACACCGGGGAGCATATTCGGGTGAGATATTACGAGGAGCTCTTGCATTGGGTGGAAGTGATGGCTACTATGTAGCTAAAGTTCGATGAGACACGGAGCGATGACGGAACGGGTCCTCTGACCTGAGGGCGAAGTCGGAGCGAGAGCGGGCTGGCAGATAAGGCTTGAATACTTAACCCGCCAGGTCGCTGCCTCTGGCCAGGACATTGGGACTTGTTCTGGGCTCTTGATGATTTTAGTGACAAATTGTTTATTTTCTGTTTGTTTCTTCGCAAAAGACGGGAAAACATTCTGAGACCATTTGCTCAATTGACCTTCTCCCTGCTTGGTGGTTGACCGGAACGAGTTGGACTTGAACAAATACGTCCAACCAACCACCACTTCTGACACTATGGTGATAATTACTAGGAGTCTAGGTACTGGCAACGCTTAGCAATGATCAGACCCCCTATTCATTGTCTTTCTGACTGCGCGGTCTGAACCGATCGGAGGCCCGATGGAACTCCAGCTCCACCTCTTGACGCCTCAACCAAGACCCCTGGATACTAAGTCGCCGAACGAGACAGACAGAAAGAGACGGGACTGCATGGCCTCATCCCATCAGGAATTGGTATGCCTGTTCAAGGTCGAAATACTGAGTGCATGAATCGATAAAGTGGCGACGATGACCATTGGCTGTTAGAGGCCATTGAACGGGGCATGACACGAGATGACTGATCTCTCTCCGCAACCTGGGGTAACATTGCGAGCGGAAGACCAACGGATTATGGAGTTGATTATGGAGCATTGAAGCATGAACTACCTACTTTCACAAGCTACAGGATCCTCCCCCAGCTGGAAACCAGCAATGAGAAGCCCGGGCTCTGAGACCTGACCACTTACAACCGGTACATAACGAATCCTAACAGATAGCCTCGAGTAGCTCGAGCTGAGTCGGATGGTTCACTCGGTTATCAATGGATGCTGACAGGGAGAAATGTGTCTTGGGAAATGATTAGCATGCGGGGTGCCCCCGACGTTACACACGCGAACACGATCAAGTGGTGTCATGATGATCCATTATCATCGTACAGGGGCGGGGGAAACGCGAGATTCGACGGGAGACTCTAGACGTGGAAACCGTCAACCCCAGACCTCGACGAGTCCAAAAGTGACCATTAGACGTTTGGAAGCTTCGATTGGACGATTGCAATCCCTCATTGGATGCTACGAATGGGAGTTGCCGTGCTTATCATCCAGGGTGGAAGGAAACCCTGCTGCTAGCCCTGGTCAGCGACATTTATGTTACCTAATTACCGGATGCGGAATCTCCCCCGGTGGCAATATCAGTCCAATCATCCGACGAACAGGAAATTGGCTATTTCGCAAATTCGACGCACGCACTTTTTAGTCGGATAAGCCACGGCACAGAAACAACCGAGGCCAGTTTCTGCGGAACAGTGATATCCGGTCTTTGAACTTCGAGGTGGTGATGTACCTTATTCAAAGGGTTTGAAAGGAATAATGAGAGCAGAAATAACATGCAGAACCATGAATTGAATTTACCATGAAGAAAATCTTTTTTTTTCTTTTTATTTTTATTTTGGCTCTTGTTTGAAAACTCTTCGATTGCGGATATTTCTTGACTGATAACGGATGTCCGGTTGCGAGCTACTTGCACAGTGGGCAATATAGCCACGAGGGCGAACAAATTTGTGTGGTTCCACCGGTAAGCTCCGACCGGATTAGCAAGCTGATTGGGTGCATCAACGTGTACCACTGGTCTTCGAGAAAAGATCAAGACCGACGCCCAGCTCCCGCAACCAATCAAACAGCGAATTGGCCTTTGCTCGGCTGATGCTTGACACTGCTTGTCATATCTTCGCTGGATTATGAGGTTACATTGGCCGGCCCGCCAAGACAGTTTCGGCCTTTCCTTTCTCAGATTTTGCCTGCCACACTGTTCCAGTTTCCGGTGTTCAGCGTCCACAGGTTCTCAGACACACAAGCGACGGGGAGACTTTCAAATCTCCGCCGATCGCGCAATTGAAGGTTCGCAGCTCGCCTGATTGAATGAATCAGAGATAAGACCGGGCCCGCATTGGCCCTCATTTCCCTCCCTCCAGCGCGAGTATAAGGTCGGTCTCCTCCCCTCCTCTGCTTCCTCTTTCGCTCGATATTCGTGAGGACACAACAAGCCTTTCAACTTCCTTCCCTCCCACACGGCCCGGGCAGTCCTTGCTTGGTTTCTCTTTGCAAAATGTCTACCAGAGATCACGAGGTTGAGGCTACTCAGTAAGTCTTGCTAGGACACTATATCTTCCCCGCCGTCACGCGTGTCGATTTTCTGACTCCGCTTGTACTTCAATAGACCTCACCTGCAGGACAATGTCGTCTCCGAGGTTGCTCTGAACGAGAAGGACCCGTATGCCGTGGAAAAGGCTCCCTTAGATACCCCCGATGGTGAGGAGCCTACTGCGGAGGAGGCCAAGAACCTCCGTCATGTCGCCGAAAACTTGCCCGTCTCCGCCTGGCTTGTGGCTATTGTCGAGTTGTGCGAGCGTTTCACCTACTACGGCATGTCAGGTCTGTTCCAGAATTATGTAAACAACCCTCTGGACGGTAGCAAGGGTCGCGGTGCTCTCGGTTTGGGTCACCAGGGTGCCACCGGTCTGACTACTTTCTTCCAGTTCTGGTGCTACGGTGAGACCTGTCATGCCCGAACTTCAAACAGCGACGAATGTACTGACATAATTGGATCTAGTTACTCCTATTCTTGGTGCCATCATTGCTGATCAATACCTCGGAAAATACAAGACCATTGTGCTCTTCTGCGGCGTGTACCTGGTCGGTCTCCTGATCCTGGTCTGCACCTCGATCCCTACTGCTCTCGAGCACGGTGCTGGTCTTGGCGGTTTCATTGTCGCCATTCTGGTCATCGGTCTGGGAACAGGTGGTATCAAGAGTAACGTTGCGCCCCTGATTGCCGATCAGTACAAGCGCAAGAAGATGGCTGTCTCCACTACAAAGAAGGGTGAGCGGGTCATCATTGATCCTGCTCTGACCATCCAGCGTATCTACATGATTTTCTACGGTTGCATCAACCTTGGCTCTCTGTCTCTGCTTGCTACTCCTTACATGGAGCGGGACATTGGCTTCTGGTCCGGCTACCTGCTCTGTCTGTGCATGTTCGCCTGTGGTACCCTGGTGCTCATTGTTGGACGCAAGTACTACGTTGTCCGCCCCCCTCAGGGCTCTATCATTACCGACGCCTTCAAGGCTCTCGGAATTATGATCGTCAACCGCAACATGGATGCGCCCAAGCCCAGTTGGCAGGCTGCCAATGGTGGCAGCAGGCCCAACCTGCCTTGGGACGACCACTTCATTGATGAGCTCAAGCGTGCTCTGGTTGCTTGCCGTGTCTTCTGCTTCTTCCCCATCTACTGGGTTGTCTATGGCCAGTTCTCCGGCAACTTCGTCACCCAGGCCGCGCAGATGCAGGGCCACGGTATCCCCAACGATCTGATGCAGAACTTTGATCCCATCTCGATTATTGTCTTCATCCCCATCCTGGAGACCCTGGTGTATCCTCTGCTGCGCCGTTTGCATATCCGTTTCCGTCCCATCACCCGTATCTCCCTGGGTTTCGTCGTCGCGTCTCTTGCCATGATGTACGCCGCTATTGTGCAGCACCTCATCTATTCTGCCGGTCCTTGCTACGAGCATCCTCTCTGTGATGCCTCTAAAATCGACGGCACCGCCCAAGGCAACCGGGTCCACATTGCCATCCAGACCCCTGCCTACATGTTCATCGGTATCTCGGAGATTTTCGCCTCCGTGTCCGGTCTGGAGTACGCCTACACCAAGGCTCCTCCTTCGATGAAGTCGTTCGTGCAGTCCATGTATCTGCTCACCAACGCCTTCGGTTCCGCCATCGCCGAGGCCTTGACCCCCGCCGCCTTCGACCCCGCCATCATGTGGATGTTCGTCGGTCTGGCCTGCGCTTCGTTCTTGGTCGGTATCATCTTCTGGTTCGTGTTCCACCACCTCAACGCCCAGGAGGACGACATGAACAAGCTGGACGCCGACGACCCGGATGTTCCTCCTGCCCGCGTGCACGAGGAGAAGAACTAGACCGATTTAGGTCTATGTCTTTGATTCCCCTTTTTATTTCTCTACTGTATAGTAATGTTTCTCCTCTTAATGTTCGGATAACCGCAGGACGAGCTCTACTTTTTGAGTCGCGCGGGCACGCGTAACAGCACCTGCTGAGCAGATCTGAGCGATGAGATAGATGTAAATAAATGAGACACGTTCTGATGACGTCTTCCTCGTATTGTGCAATAACTAATAAGGTAGCTCTCCGCATTCTTGTATCCTATTGTACTACACTCCAATCCCACATGGCAAGCAAGCACGCGACTGCAACAGTCACACCGAGGAGTGGGCCCACAAGAGACCGTTATTACAATCGGTCAACGAAATAGATATGACAGAAAACAATAACAAATCAGACTCTGGGTCCACTGATAAGTACCTTACTTCGTACTCGTACCTCCCTTAACCCAGTAACAAAGTGAAACCAGGGCATGGCACGAGTGAACCCCCTGTTTCTCTAAGTCTGCCTTATGGAGTAGTCCTTCCTCACCTAGGAATTATTAATGATTGTTCGGCCCAAATACAGCTAGACCAGCCCACTCTCAAAGCGATCGGTACTTTCATGGAATGGCTACGGAACGAAAGGCGACTTATGCCTTGACTGATTAAGAGCTTAGCTTGGCGCAGGGACTGGGCCGGTGGAACTCGGTGGATAGGGGGGTTTCGGAGGTCGAGGCCTGTTCTGGTTAGGGGGGTTTTTGGTGGGTGGGCGGCCGTGGGTCGGGGGTTGTACTGCACTGCAGAAAAAAGAGGTGGCTGATTTGCCGTTTGCCGTTGATTTAATGGGTCTGATGGATCGAAATACCGTACTCCGTAGTCATGAGGAAGTACGGAGCAGATTGTTGGTGTAATGAGGTTGCCTACTTCGTTGGGGGATAATTGCTTTGAAGTTTGAGTAGGTTGTTCCCTATCGGTTGGTAATGTATGGATGCCGGTGTGAGTGTGTTTAGTGTGTCCCTCCGCATGCTGATAATGGTGTGCAGTCTGGTCTCTCACTCCACTTCGGACTAAAGTATAGGTACTCCATACTAGTAGATGGAAATGGAGTCCTACGGAGTACAGAGCATCCTGGTACAATAATAATGGCTTCCTTGCAAACCTGATGACTTGCAAGTATCAATTGTGTAGCCCTGGAGTCATGCTATGACTTTCCTCAAACACGTAGAAGTTAGCTAGTCTACTCTAAAGGTGTCCGACGAGATGCATTTTTGACAGGTTGACAAGTACCCCTCTCTTCGGCTGCTCTTGAGTGTCGGGAATAGGACACAGCTGCAAGAATCCTACAACTTCCAACACATCTAAGTTGATCCAGCGCTAGATGGAGGTTCAGGAAAGGCCTCATTCAGGCTCTAGCAGATTATGGAAGCAAGAGGAGCTGGCTATTGTTGAAACTCATCAGCAGACGTTATTCCCTCACGTCGCAGTAAAACAGTTCATTCTCGGATCAACCTAACAACCTTGGTAAAGCCTCGCTGACTTCAGGACCTCTGTTGGGAGAATGTGCTCCAGCGCACGGCCTGGATTCTTAAAGTACGCAATACACTTGATCGATCCCTTGACTGGAGCGATCAACACACAGCGCAGCAATGGCTGCCGCTCAGCGCGGAACCGCCGTTGCTGTTCCTCATCATCTTCAATGCGCGGTGGTTCGTTGAAATGTGCAATGATCCGGTTCCGATCCTGTATCGACAGAAGATTCAAGGACGTCGCTATGTCGAAACTACGTTCCACTCCACTCTCCGTCTCGCATTTGTGGATGAATTCAAGTGCGTTGATGGCGCCGATTATCTCCTTGTATCTACCGCGTCATCCTTGAATGTCTTGGCCCAAACACTCTCGAGTATAAGTCGTACGCGGTCCATCGTGCGCCAAGAGACACGCCTGCGTCGCTGTGATACCTCACGCAGCCAGAGTACACCGGCAAAAATACGTCCTCCGGGTCGTAGTTCGATGCAAGGCTCAGCGCGACGACTACCGCCACGAACCTCATCACCAGCCTTGAAGACGCTCACGTTCTGTGGGTCTACGGGCAGTGATAGGTATCCTCCCAAAAAACGTTGAACGTAATCCTTGGTGAACCTTCTCTGGATGGTTCCTTCAAGATGCAAGGTCACGATATCAGGCTTGATGATTCGCACCTCGAGAACAACGCCGCTTATAGTGAATGTTCGTGTCCCAGCTCGATAGTCTGTTTGCTGCGGCCTCTCTTGGAGGACGGCCATGAAGACGAACGCCAGGATGACTGATGACTCGGAGATCGACGTGAAGGGACTCCTTGGGTAGGGGCAGACACTCGGGTTTCTCGACTGCATAGGAATCTGCACTCCAATTGCTCAGAACAGTAATAAGAATGCTTTCCCAGCACCGCGGGCCTTTCATATGCGACATCTGGTAGCCGTTCGCCGTCCACATGGAGGTACAGGGTCCATCTTTCAAAAGCCTCCGTCCACAGATCCCTTCTGACGGTCGTAAGGCCGTTCGCGCTTTTCGCGAGGGTCGCTAGCCCAACCAAAACGGCCACAATCGTGGCGTATGCCGACAATGAGGACAGCAGATTATCAGAAACCATGACGAGTGATTATGACTACCTCAAAACCCATTGTCAGGCACTCCAAGAGCAGGTGCTCCACTGACTCTTTCATACCCGCTGCGTGATGGAAAGGAACCTATGATGGGCTTGGCTGACAGTAAGCAGCCCTGGATGTTGTGGCTGAATCTACTTGCTTTTTGAAGGGGAATCCTCCAATCATCGGCACTGCGGAACACGAAGGTGAAGCCATGACCTTTGTCCGACGAATGGTTTCAGCTAAGCGCCTGAATAGACCAAGACAAGGCTGAAAAATGCGGTCAGGCGCGGTCCTGTTTCAGTGGCCAATGGTTCTGATATACCACTTCATCGGATATGTGCAGCTCATGGGCTGGAAGACCATGAGCATCGTGACGATACGAAGAAGCTCCTAGCACGCCGAGTTTTGGACGTCAATGCGTCGGTGAACAACAAAAAAGTGCCGTTGCATCACGCTGTTGAAATGGATAATCGGGACCTTGTCTACCTACTCCTCGAACACAATGCCGACGTCAATGTGAGAGACGTGAAAGGACAGACGCCACTCGAACTTCTTTGCTCAAGTAAGTCAGAGGAGTACACGACCTCACACAGTCAAACCGATGTGCAAGATAACGCGGATAACGGCCAATATGTGGTGTTCGAGGGCATACGTCGTGGGAGTTTTGTTAACAGACAGGGAAGACGGAAACATCAAGCGCAGTCTGGAGCAGGAAGAGATTTCCCAGGTTCTTGTTGAGCACGATGCAGACAATCAAGGAAGCACTCACCTGATGATGGCCTGGGAGCAGGGAAATTCTGTAATCGCTGCCGATATACTTTACGGCTTGGGAATCAAGTGGCTCGCGGAAATGTCCGACGAAGAAGCCGAGTGCACTACCATTTTCCCGTTCGCTCGTGGAGGGAATTGGCCGAAGCAGGTGAGATCCATGAGAATGAGTCAAGGAACCAGAATCTTGTGTCTCCTACAGAGCAGCATATGATAAACAAGAGACTGAGTACAGGGGAAGTTCAGTCCGGCGTTCCGTCCTTTCCCGAAAGCACTGCGTTTATATAGACGAGCCTAACGAGATCAAGTTGACGACTGGAGGTCCCCGTCGCCGGGAGATTAAAAATATCTGTTTTCCCAACGTCTCCGTATCGAAGTTGTTGGAAGATGAAGGGGAAACCCTTGCTCGACTCGAAAAGCTGGTGGAGCGCAAGGGAAGAACTCCCCTACACTATGCCGCAAAGGACGGACATTGGGAGGCAGTGAAGCTGCTTTCAAAGTACGATTGTATCAATGTGCAAGCGAGGAACAATTCTGGCAGAAGAGACATGGATTTGGCATTGGATAACGACTTCTATGACGTCTTCAACGCGCTTCAGGATTGAAGAATAACCATGATTGATATTTCAAAAAGACATCAATATAGTCTGCTTGATAGCAGTGTATTGTTCCCATGCCTCATAATTCAGGAAGGAACCATGATCGGCCTAGTCAAGCCTGGGATACAAGCCACACATTGAGGCTGTGTGCTGAGCCATTTTGACAACTGGCGATCGTTGCTAATTATAAGCTGACCCAGGCAGAATCATAAGCCAATGGCCATTCATTTGTGAGTATTCAAGACAAATCAGGTTGTGCTTTGGAGACTGAACCCACATGCTGCCAATAGGTGGGCCTAATACTTGCCACGACAAAAGGACATGCAGCATTGCATATGATCCGACGAAATGATAGGATAGAAGAACCCGGACAGTCAAAACATGATTGAACTGGCAATACGGAATTTTTCGATGTTTTGTTCCCGTATTTGAGCTATTTTGATGGTGTGGGGTAACGGCGTGCGACGGTGCAAGGGACTGAGGTGGGATGCTGGGGATAGATCGGACTATTCTTACCAAGTGAATTGCGCCAGAATGTCCGTCTATCTCATAGCTTATTTCCCTTGATAGCGAATGATAGAACCAGCAAGGGTACGACCTGCCTTAGGCACCTGTCCAAGTAATAATTAAGCAAAACCACCAGCGTCGCCAGTTTTCTGGAAACAATTGCTGAGGCTCTGATGGTGCTGTTGACCAAATGTATGCATAACGATGACGTGCAGACTCAACGCCTCCATAGTCAATACTTCTCGGTGGAACTGAAGCGCAATCCGTACCATTGTCAAGGATCCCAACGAACCGGCTCTCCTACACCGTGGACATGCCGGAAATGGTAGGTAATACTCGGATGCGCGGGAAATGTCAGCAGCAAATTGCACAGCCTGAGGGAGGTAAACGAGAGGGTCAATGCCTGAGCAGGCAACCATAATTCTCTAAGATGAGAAAAAGGACCAGAGGATAGGTAGTTGGAAAGCTTCAAATAAATAGACAGATACGCTCTGTCAGGTAGACCCCTCTATCAAGCTTGTCAAAAGGTGAAACCATGGCCTGTCTACCCATCACCACTAGCTTCCGACCGTGGTGTTTCACAACTATTGATTTGGTCTCTCGAACCGTTAGCCAGGGAGAAAAGGGGACTTGATGATCACCCACTTTGGTCTGTGCATCATCTAGCAGCCCCCTGTATGATTATTATCATTCATCACCATCAATGAATTTCAAAACAAATCTAAAGTAGTTGCCACGAAGCTAGCTTCCGTATCAGCCACATTCCCACAAACGATATTCAAGAACGAGGGAAAGTGAACGAGCACAGTAGCAGTAATAATCTCATTCTCAACTACCTTCATCTTGTTTTCTATGAATAGTTGTCGATCGAGCTTCTGTAGGACCCATAAGCGCCTGATCGTCATCACTTTTCTTCCTTTAATACCTACTATTTATTATTGCCGTCTTGCGGGTCCAGAACTTTGCCTACTGTCAGCTCCGAGTGAATTCAGAGCCAACCCTTGGCACCTTTGGGAATTGAGAGAGCGCTTCTGCTTGCCTTTCCGCCCACGACTGTCCGCCTCAGCCGCGTGTCTCACTCTGTCATTTCGTCCCTTTCTTCAATCGTTCATTTTTTTTGCCTTCGACATATTCAGCCCTCCCACGTCTCTTTTGTCATACTCATCTTCCATTCTTTAATTCTTCGTCTCCGCTCCGTTACTGTACGCTGCTTTATTGACAGTCGGCGAATTCGGGTTAAGCTCTTGTCCCACGCGCATTTGGACAACCTCCTGAATTCCGGAACCGCAGTCGCCCTTGCACCAAAGGAGACGAAGAACAGCGACCGGACCATAATACAACCCATATCGGGTTCAAGAGAAGAAAAGGAGCTTATTTATTCAACCCTGTGCTTGCGTATAGTAAATTCTGACATAATTACATCATGAGTGTATGTTCTGAATGGCTACCCCTTTCCCTGGCGAATGCCCCAAGCGCAAAACTCTTATGCTGACTTTCTTTGCTATTTGAAAGTACGCGGACTACAACAACAACTCTCAGGGCGGCTACGGCCAATACAACCCTTATGGTGGCCAGCAGCAGAACAATGCCTACGGCGGCCAACAACAAGGCTACGGCCAGGCCCCCTACCAGCAAGCCAATAACATGGAGCAGGGTAACGGTAGCTATGGTAGGACTCCTCATAGTCTCAGGTCTGGCGTATGTCTCTAATGCGCTGCCTCCTACAGAAATGTCCGCTATGGGTGGCTACGGCGGCCAGCAGCAGCAGCCATCCGGCCCGACCGCATTGCTGAACAAATGCAAAGAAATCAACGATGGTATTGCCGATCTGCGAGCCAAGAGAGAGAGCCAGCTCGCCGCCGCGCAGAACGCTTTGCTTGACTCGAGTACCGGAAAGGAAGATCAGGCCTCCCGTCAGACACTCGATTACATCGAAGACGAGATCAACAACGGTTTCCGTTACCTCCGGGACCTCCTGAAAAAGGTCAAGCAGACGCCTGGCTCTGGAGACACCCGTGTTCAGACTCAGATCGATGTCACCAGCCGGAACTTGCGTCGGGAGATTGAGCAGTACCAGAGGGCCCAGTCGGATTTCCAGAAGCGGTTGCGCGAACAGGTGCGCCGACGATACGAGATCGCAAACCCAGAGGCTTCTCCCGAGGAGATTGAACAGGGCGTTGACAATGTTCTGATGGGCCAAGAGCAGAGCTTCCAGGTACGAGAGCATGGCTCATCCCCAATATCTAGGACAGGAGCTGATTTGCTTGTGATAGGTTACCGGTAGCAGAACCAGACAGGCCAATGACGCCAGACAAGCTGCTTTGGAGCGGTCCGCCGCTATTCGAAAGATCGAGCAGGACATGATTGAGCTGGGCCGTTTGTACCAGGAAGTTGCAGAGCTGGTGCATCAACAAGATGCTGCTGTTGAGCAGATCAACCAAGGCGCCGAAGATGTTGTCGACAATGTCCAGAATGCGAACACCCAGATTGATCATGCCATCAAGAGCGCGCGCAACGCCAGAAAGTGGAAGTGGTATGCGCTGCTCATCGTCAGTACGTATCATCTTTGGCCTCAGTGTAAAAGCATCAACCTGACTGACTGTGACACTAGTTCTGATCATTGCCATCGTTGTCGGTGTCGCTGTTGGTGTCACCCAGGCCAACAAAGCGTAAAATGGCCATCCTTGAAAGATGCTTGCATCAAACGGCTTGCAGAATACGTTTGTCGGCTGCTTATGATCTACTCCGCGCTCGGAAATCTGCGTCGCTACGTCAGGCTTCTCGATACCCCTTATCTCGCCCTCTGCACTATCCTTTCGCTATACATGGTCCACGCAATGCGGAAGCGAAAGTCGATATATTCGGCGAGGCACATAATCCGATGCCTGGTTCCCGCTTTACTCATCCATCCGAGCTGCACAAAGACCGTTCACTTTTTTCCTCAAGATTTCCTAGTGTACTTTCTTATACCACTCCGTCGCATTCTCCTCTGTTTTAATCCTGTCTGATATTTGTCTCCTTGTTTTGAAAAAGCACGGCAGCTTGCGAGTTCCTTCTCCATATCACTTTGGCTCCCCCCCTTTGCCTCTTTTTGTATCTCCGGGTCGTGTATATCTGCTTCGTGTCCGATGATTTGCGACATGATGATCCGTCGCTTCTCTTGACTAGGATACGCATGATGCTGTCGTACATGTACATATTAGATTTTCTCCTCGTTTTCACTGCCGTTGGTCCTAGAATCTATGTAATAATCGAACTCTAATTCATCACGAAAGTATAGATATGTACAGAGAACCTTACAGTCACCAGTTTGGGTTTACTCAACACATGATACCCGTAGAGCCACCAGACCTCTCATATCTGACAGTCAGCCGGCAGTATGACCACAGCATACCACTGCCCTAAGCCTGCGACTGTCTAGCCTTCTCCCGCTCCTCCTCCTCTGGCGTCCTCGTCCGCAACTGCAAAGCATGGATTCCGCCCTCCCGGCTCATCTCATCCTTAAGCAGAGAGTAGACCATCCGATGCCGCGCAGGCTGCATCTTCGACTGGAAAGCGGAGGATGTGATCGTGACACTGTAGACATACGCATTAGCTACCGCCATCACTCACTTCTTTGGCAACAATGTAACGGGTCGCCGTCGCAGACATACTGGAAATGCGTCTCTTTCGAAGTTACGCCTTGCATCGGGGCGTGGTGCGCGTGCAGGTGCGAGTCATTGCGGATTATGAGGGTTGAGGGGGAGAAGGCGGCTGTTATCTGTGTCGAGGGTTGGGTTAGTTAATTGTTTATTTTCAAGGGAAGTTGTAGTTGAGTGATATGTTCTGTACCTTTTCGCGGATCGTATCTTCCATTGGTGTCGTGGAGGTGGATGACATCCTGGACGGGAGGGTGGTCCTGAGTGGGGAGAAGAGGCGGCGGGGGAGCAGGCCTGGTCGGCTGCGGAGGGGGAGCATTGACGGTAACCGTAGTTGGGGAGTTTGCGAGGTGATGATGGGTTGGTAGAGAGGTGTCTCTTGCAGCAGATATTGGTCATGAATGGCGTCGTAAATTGTATGGTCTGCTCCGGTCTGGGCCTGTGATGCCGAGATGCTGTTTTGGGGATAGCGTTTGTCGATGATGGTTTGCGCCGCAATGTCCGTTGAGGTGAAATTCGCATGTAATCGTCTGCTTCCTTGTTGTACTAGCTTCTCAGGTCAATCTTACAGGAATTGGACCTTGCGAAATGTATGACTCGTCTTTCATTGCCTACATTGTCGTTCCTGGCGTTATGCGTGCTAACTGGTAAATGACAGTTTGGACGCCAAACCGCAGAGCTCCGGAGCACCTCCGTTTATGACATCAATCCACCGCGCAGCAATTGCTCTCGAGCGTTGATATCTCGCAGTACCTACACATCGTCTAGATACCGCAAGAGGAGGGGGTACATGAGGCGCACTTAAGGATAAGATTCCACCATGCAGGGACGCAATCTCATGCCATTGCTTTCTCGTGGCTCTCCGTCTTTTCGGGCCGTCGGAGCAGCATTTCCTCGCAAGCCCTTTTACAGCCGAGCTCAGAACGTGACCACGCCTGCTTCGCTTCGTTCCTTGTCAACGTTACCGAATCTTCCTCTCTTTCGTGCGCTCAAAGATCATGACTCCTCAAGCCTCGCCGTCGTTCATAGCGCATCTTCGCGATCTTTCACGTACGGTAACTTGGTCGCGGACGTGCTGCAGGCGAAAGAACGCCTGCTAGGGTCTGTCGGGGGAAGGCAGGAGTCGCTATCTGGGGAGAGGGTGGCATTCCTTGCGGAGAATAGCTACGATTACGTAGGTACTGTTTCTCTACTCTGTCCCCGGTGGATCTCGCACAAGTGTCCTGGGTGTATTACCTTGGCTTAATGGCTGATCCTGACCTGCAGTAACACTCCTCTCTATCCTTGCCAGCAATGCAATTGCTCTCCCTCTTTCCCCTGCGTTCCCTGTCGGCGAACTCAAGTATATCCTCGACAACTCCCAGGCCAAGGTGTTGGTCGCTACTCAGAAGTACGTGGATAAGGCGCATGACCTGCTCAAGGCCGGCTTGAATACGGAGCCCGTACTGGATATCAAGGAGAAGATCCAGGCGGGTGCGACGAGCTCGTACCCGGTCTCTTTGGAGGATCTCGACGGTGAGAGATCGATGGGAGGGATGATGCTTTATACTTCTGGGACTACGAACCGGCCGGTAGGCATTGACTTTTTCTTTGATTCTGTTTAGACTCCGACAGGCTGGAAGAACTTCTAGACTGACCATCAATTAGAAAGGCGTGCTCATTCCCCAATCAGCACTTACCGCACAAGCGTCTTCGCTATTAGAGGCGTGGAAATATACCCCTGAAGATCGATTGCTTCATCTTCTTCCGCTGCATCATATCCATGGAACTGTCAATGCGATCGTGACGCCTGTACTTGCCGGATCTTCCATTGAATTTATGTTTCCGTTCAACACAGACGCTGTATGGAACAGGCTTGCAGCGCCATTTTTACCAAACAGCACGAATAAGAGTAAGATTACATTTCTCACAGCTGTGCCGACAATCTACAATCGACTGCTCTCAAGCTTTCCTAGCCTACGTCCCGAAATTCAAGAAGCCGCGAAGAAGGGCATCTCGCCCGAGAATCTCCGCTTGAACATTTCTGGCTCCGCCGCTCTCCCGACACCGACCAAGCAAGCCTGGCAGGAACTCAGCAACGGAAACGTCCTCCTTGAGCGCTTTGGCATGACTGAGGTCGGAATGGCCATCAGCTGTGGGCTCGACTTCGCGGACCGCGTGGATGGAAGTGTCGGCTGGCCGCTGCCGTCTGTGGAGGCCAGGCTGGTCGACACTGAGACGAATGAAGTCATCAAGCCTGGAGAGGAGCTCGACGCCAACGACCGTGAGCGGGAAGGTGAAATCCAGCTTCGTGGGCCCACGATCTTCCGCGAATACTGGGCTAATGAGAAGGCTACAAAAGAGGCCTTCGTGGATAGCGAAGATGGGAAAGGCAAGTGGTTCAAAACAGGCGACGTTGCTACCCGCCGAGTAGTCCAGAACGCCGGCAAGGGGACCAGCGGCGAATGGGCCAGAGGCCCAATGTATTTCATCCAGGGTCGACTGAGCGTCGACATCATCAAAACGGGTGGGGAGAAAGTCAGCGCGTTGGAGGTTGAGAGGGAGTTACTGTCGCTGTATGCTCATTTATTCCACTCACCCATACATCCAGTCTAACCTGTTCGTTCAGCCCTCAGATCATCGAAGCCGCCGTTGTTGGTCTTCCATCCGAGCAATGGGGTCAAAAGGTCGCTGCCGTAGTGGTCCTGAACCCCGAAGTAGCAGCCAAGACAGGTCGCAACGGCAAACCCTGGGGTCCTATGGACATGCGCCGCGCCCTTAAAGACCGGCTAGCGAGCTACAAGCTGCCCCAGGAGATGAAGGTCCTTGACGGGCCAATTCCGAGAAATGCTATGGGAAAGGGTGAGTAATCTTGACCTCGTCATTTGGCTACTCAACAAACTAACTATGGATGCTGCAGTAAACAAGAAGACACTTATCAAGGAGGTCTTCGGATCGTAATCACGACATCGTACATCTATTCCTGTGTAATAAGCTGCTCTACGAAATATGTAAATTCGCCCATGTCCATGGTCGGACATTCTGAGAGCGATCGTTCCGAGTAACCTAGGTTTATACATACCATCGTGATGCTACAATGACGGAAAGGAAGCTTGGGCGGATATCCGCCGATTCATGGCTTGCAAGGTCTTGAGGTGAAACATGAGATTTGACAAGATACCATACATCGAGCGCATCTGGACGGAAATAATCCGCATGTCCTCAATTGAAAACAGTATTGGAATGGCAAGACTATCAATGAGTAGTTCGACTTCTTGAGCGGGCTTGTTGTCAGTTGGCGAAAGACACCTGCTGAGTCGGGCACGGGTTTTGCAACCTTGAGACAACCTTCGAAGCCAAAGCTATTAATCAGGCAGAATCCACTTCTCGCGGCACACCTTATAAGACTTACAGACCAGCTCAATCGGTACTCCGCTCGTTCCCCAGATTCTTCTTCAATGATTGTGGGGAGCCAAGGATAACAGGGGACGACGTCCCCTTCAGCAAATCCTCCCCTAATTGCTGAGCATGATCTCTTTTGCATTGTTCTAATGTTCGATCTTTATGCTGATCTCATACTGGATTCGACCCCTGAATAACCGGAGCAGCATGCGAATGATGCAATGCCTTCATATTTCGGATCTCTATCCCGCAGCAGTATGCCAGGCGCCTTCCGGACCCAAAGGGGATATCGCAAAAAACAAACCGCGGGTCCATGCTCCTCTGGTGCGCTACGTTTCCTCGAAGCGCCGGTATATAACCTGCAGGCTGTACCTATGAGCAGAGAAAGATTTGTCCACTGACTGAGCACGTCATCCTTGTTTGATGCAATTGCAACAATGGCTCTAACACTGGCAGCCACCGCGCTGGTACTCCTTCCCCTTGTGACTGCGCAGCAGATCGGGTCCATCGCCGAGAACCACCCGGAGCTCACAACATACAGGTGCAGTTCTCAGGCTGGCTGCGTTGCACAAAGCACCTCAGTGGTGCTTGACATCAACGCACACTGGATACACCAAAACGGAGCCCAAACATCATGCACCACTAGCAGCGGCCTCGACCCGTCTCTCTGCCCGGACAAGGTGACCTGCAGCCAGAACTGCGTAGTCGAAGGCATCACCGACTACAGTAGCTTCGGCGTGCAGAACTCAGGCGACGCCATGACCCTCCGCCAATACCAAGTACAAAACGGCCAGATCAAGACGCTGAGGCCGCGCGTGTACCTCCTCGCCGAGGACGGCATCAACTACAGCAAGCTGCAGCTCCTCAACCAAGAATTCACCTTCGACGTCGACGCCTCCAAGCTCCCCTGCGGCATGAACGGCGCCCTCTACCTCTCCGAAATGGACGCCTCCGGCGGCCGCAGCGCCCTCAACCCCGCCGGCGCAACCTACGGCACAGGCTACTGCGACGCGCAGTGCTTCAACCCCGGCCCCTGGATCAACGGCGAGGCCAACACCGCCGGCGCAGGCGCCTGCTGCCAGGAGATGGACCTCTGGGAGGCCAACTCCCGCTCCACAATCTTCTCCCCGCACCCGTGCACCACAGCCGGCCTGTACGCGTGCACCGGCGCCGAATGCTACTCCATCTGCGACGGGTATGGCTGCACCTACAACCCCTACGAGCTCGGCGCAAAGGATTACTACGGCTACGGTCTCACCATTGACACCGCCAAGCCGATAACCGTCGTCACGCAGTTCATGACGGCCGATAACACCGCGACAGGCACGCTGGCCGAGATCCGCCGGCTGTACGTGCAGGACGGCAAGGTCATCGGTAATACGGCCGTCGCCATGACGGAGGCTTTCTGCTCGTCGTCGAGAACGTTCGAGGAGCTAGGTGGGTTGCAGCGTATGGGCGAGGCCCTGGGGAGGGGCATGGTGCCTGTGTTCAGTATCTGGGATGATCCGGGCCTGTGGATGCATTGGCTTGATAGTGACGGTGCCGGGCCGTGCGGTAACACCGAGGGAGATCCTGCTTTCATACAGGCTAACTATCCCAATACGGCGGTGACTTTTTCGAAGGTCAGGTGGGGGGATATTGGTAGTACGTACTCTTCTTAGGTACTGCTGGTTTCATGTATATAGTCGCTTCGACTGTCAATTTGTACATATGGTTCTCTAAAAGCCTGTACATAGAGATAAGCATAACTCAATGCGATGAGATCCTAGAAAGGTGGGTTATTGTAGATATGCAAAGCACTCAGACTAGGAGATATTCTTGGTGAAGAGCTTCGGAGCGGAAGCTCTCTATATTCTTCGAGATCGCTACATGATACATATAAACCATAGTTCTATAACTGCACACGGGACCTGACGCCTTGCGGCGTCCAAAAGAGGCGAGGTATCCACAAAAGAGAATTTTATAAAGTACAGTTCCCGTCAACTCTCCCACCTCGAGAAGTGACGAGCTAACGCCACTCTCCAACCCGCTCAAAATGCTTGACCACTCGCGTGGCCTCCATGACGACCAGCATGCGAGCCAAATCAACCGAGGTAATCTTAGCTTCAACAACGCTGAGAATGTTGGCGTCCGGTACGTTGTCGGTAAGGATCTGACAGCGGACTCCTAAAGACGTGATGACGCCCGCGTATCCTTCGCCGAACTCAGTGCCTGCCATGGAGGTACAGCTGTAGGGCTTGTGGAGGAGGCACGGGAACGTCTCGGGTAATGCGCATTCAGCAAAGTAGAATGCGCGGAAGAGGAGCATGCACGACCAGAACTGCTTGGACGCGGCGTCGCAGTCCCTGATGCGGTTGCGTTTCCAGCGTGACCTGGCGATATACTTGTCGACATAGTCCTTGGAGAAGGGGAGAACGGAGGTATCCTTCGTGGCGTCTAGGGGCCGCCCGTGTTCGTGCTCGAAGCGCAGCGCGGCTTCGATCTGGTAGTGTGCGAGGAGGTCGACGTATCGCCGAAGTGGGCTTGTGGATTTGATATAGGTGTCCAGGCCGAGGGGAATATGTGGGATGGGAGTCGATGAGGAGACACCCTTGGGGGCTGTGAAGTGCAGCCATCCTTCTCCTCCGTATTCAGCCATGTTTTCGTTCGTTAGTCTCGGGTATTCGGGGTGATAGCATGTTCCATCGTAGACTGCTGGGATGTTGCGCTCTGCGCACCATCTCCCAGATATCCAACAAGCGAAATTCATCAAGGTCGAGATGAGATTTCGCTTGGTGAGGTCAGGTACTTCGTGGGGGTCGACATCCTGCAAGCGCAACTGGATGATTGGATCGCCCAAGTAGTAGCGGCCTTTGGTGATATCCATGGTGTAGGGTTTCATGGGCGCCGTCCCTGCAAAGACAGAGACTGAATTGTCAGCAGGCGACGGCCACTCCATGGCCCCGTTTTTGAGCCGATATTCACGAAATGCCAGCATCAGTTTACGCAAGGTATGGAAAGCGCGCTCGTCTTCTGGTGTCAGCGAGCTCTGTAACTCTTCCCGAGAATGCGGCTGCGTAATAGTGCCTCCCACTGTCAGGATATCCGAAGATCCAGTGGTGGATTCAAAAAGACTACGCAGCTTGTCGTGCGTGATATAGATTACGTTTCTGACAGTGCCATTGGCGATTTTCGTTTCCAGAACTTCACCCTGCAAATTCATTTTGGCACTGAATGTGAGAGTAGGGCGACCAGGAGCCAAACTGAAATGGCTCTGTGTCAATGAGCTGGGCAGCATCGGGTATGTGCGCTCGGGGACGTAGAGAGTCTGATTACGCACGGCGGCGTATTCCATGATTGAGCTGTCAGGTTCGACAAATGCGGAGGGATTGGCGATGTGTATGTGTATCCAGAACGTGTCATTCGAGCTTGGAATAGGCTCCAAGGACACTCCATCGTCGATCTCTTGCGCGTCAGGATTGTCCACGCAGTAGACTGGCAGATTACCAAAGTCAGTCCGCAGGCTCTCCATTTTATCCGATGGTCCTTCTGATTTGAGCTTCTCGCACACTTGCTTCACATCCTCCCACATAGCGTCTGACGTGCGCGAGATCCCGTGTCCAGGAAGAGCTAAACTCTGGTCGAGTAATCGCAAATTTTCCCAAGGAGATAACACCCCTAATTCCTGTAAGAAGAGCTTGACGGTCGCTGCGTTCAGCTCGAGCGTGGTATACATTCCAGTAGCGCGCATGATGTGGGAACCAGCCGACCTCAACGGCCCAGAGTTCATTCTCCTAGGAGGTATGCACCAGAGCAACAGATATTCTATGATCATTCGATCGTTGTCATTGAACTTCTCGGTGAGCATTTCGCGATACACCATGGGCTTTCCATCCTGTCCCGGTGCGAACCGGTGTGCCGTCGGACCAACGCTCGCCATGATCGTCGGCGACCGCACTTTCCTGCTCACCCGTATGAGACGCTGGGCTTTTTGCAGGAATTGTTGCAGAGGATGGTCCTTCATATTGGACTTCTCCTCTCCTATTACCCTGCCTGTCGCAGACCGGACGAGGTATTCCTGATGTTCATGTACCCATTTGGTGACAGTATCGAGGAGTCTGGCAACTCGTTTCGGTTGCACCAGGTAATGATTTGTGAACAGCGAACTTCGGTCATTCTCAATGATGAATGAGTTCCGGCGGATAGTCTGATGTACGGCAAATAAGATCGTATCGTCCAACGCCTCCTCCTCTATGCCTAAGGCTTTACACGCCAGTTCTTCCAGGGTGTATTCTAGCCTCTCTTCCTCATCTGCGACGATTTCATGCATGTTATCAAGGATATGTGCATGGTCTCGGAAGAAATCCTGGATCTTTGCTTCGAAGTCACTGATCCTTTGCAAGAGGGGTGCACCAACAGGTCTCGGCACTCCACCTTCAATGGCTGACTGCATTTCAAAGCTCATTTGAGCCATTGTGTCCGGAAAATGGGGCAGAAGGGGGACGACCAATTCTGGAGGAGCGAATCCCTTCACGACATAGTCCAGATCTTTGCTGTGAGCAATTCGCCATTTCCCTCGCTCTGTATAGAACTGTTGCTGCTTATGGACAGATCGGACGTAGATTGCAAAACTTAAAATGCCGTCGACACTTCGAGAGGAGCAAGAGTTAGTGAATCCAAGCACTAGAGACGAGAAAACTTCTGCATTACTTACGTAGAAAGAGCCACCAAGTCCCCTGGCTGGAGGAATTCATCTACTCCCTCTCCTTCGTCCCCGATGTTGTGGAATTCCAAGCTCTCCTCATCTGCCTCGCGTAAAACATCACTACCAGCATCAAACGCCTCCTTGCTATCGTTCAGCATGTTTCCCACCCAAGGAGCCGATGGATCTAATGTGCTGGCCGTCCCGGGCCCTCGGACCGGGTCCAAGATGTTCGGGTGCGTCTCCTGCCATTTGCGCAAATAATTCCGAATGTCTTTGTTCTCCTCGAACTCGGTTTTTAGAAGGATATCTTCGATGGAGGCAGTAGTCTGTTGCGTATCCTGCCCAGCGGTGGGAGACTACCAGAATTTCTATCAGAGCGAGCCAATCACACATTCTTAGTTAGTACTCACCTCAACATTCGTAGCCAGCGTCCGGCGAGCGAGGCATGGACAATTCGATATGCGCCCCAAGCGACTTGTCTGTTTAGTTCCAGTTATAAGGCGATTTCGCTTCAGCAGATGGCTCGCCCCGATGACCCCACGGGAAATGTACGTCTTTTGCATCAACAAAGACATCTCCATGAATCAACACATAGTACAACTGAAATCTCCCCTGGAGATTCAAGAAGTGTCGGGGCCATCCTTTGCTTGACGCCATCGAAAACTTGTTGCATTTTGCCGGCATTTCTGGGCTCACCGCCCTGGCGGTCGGCGTTTGGTTCCAGCCAATCCTTCCACGTTTCCCAGTTGATGCTCTTCGTTCTCCCCTTTGTGAACGGGCGTCGCTCGACTTGAACTCGCTGGATATGCTACGGAGTATATTCGTTGCCGATTCCGCTTGGATGTCTATCTTTATCAGACGATTTACCAGGCCAAGGAACGTGTGGTTCTTCCAGAGGTCCAGCCCTGCTCGACCTACGAGGGTACTGTTTACAACAAATCTGGTCTTCTGCTGAACAATCGTTCAGGCATCATACTTTTCCAATGAGGACCAAATCCGATAGCGACAGTATGGTAGTGTCTCTTGCTCATTGAAGACCAGCAGTTCGATCTTAGGCAAGGGACTTCGATGTAACGCTAAGGCTCAATCATCCGGTTGACCATGCAAGTATGGTGCACCACCCAGCAGGACTACTTCATTGGCTGAATGTTCAACTTCTCAATTTTCCCTCAGGGTACAAAGAGGATGCGGTCCTTTACAAAACAGGGAACGCGATGGCCTAGGCACTAAGAGGCTTGCCAATCGTTTCCCCGACGGCCTAACCGAAGCAGCCGGGTGGACTATCCCCATCTATCGCTGTGTCCTTATGGCGCTTTCTTAATACTAGCTACTATTATCAGTCCAATCGCGGCATTTGCGGCGGGCCCTGTAGGGATGGAAATTCCCCGCGATTGCCCCGTTGCCCAACACGGGGTGAGTCGAGAGAAAGCTCAACTTTGGGCTGGCCACTGCAATTCTCCACATTTACTCGCTTAACCCATCTGAGTCGTACTAATCATCAAGCTGTTGATCACTCCGAAAATAGTTCTCTACATGGCGACATGACAAACTCATTGCAGGCTTCCGATGGTATGCCATTGATCACTTGGATTGCAGACTTGCTTTACGCTGGACTGCATAATTTCCTATCTGGTAACGGAAGCTGCTTTGATGAGGTCACGTCCTTGATGAATCCCTGTCGTATTAACAAGCGAACTATTGCTTAATATAACCCCTATTCCGAGTCTTGACGATTTTCGCGGATCCTCCATTTGTTCTTGCATGGTCTTGTCCTTACCATGGCCGATCTTAGCGTAACCGAAGACTAAGCCGCTACGTCGAAGAGGTCGGTTAAATCAAATAAGTGATCCGACCACTCAATCATTGTGACCCAGCTGAAACTCTGCCCTGTTGATCACGAAGCTAGATCCAGCGTCCTTCTAATACTCCGTGCGGATAAGGTGCAAACAACAACTTACCGCGGGATTGGCGTCCTCTGTTATTTCGCATCCGCTAACATATTGATTGGACATTCTGCAATGCCTTCTTGCAGACATGACGCGCTCGCCTTGTGATTGCAAGATCTTATCATGGGGGAGGTTTGTCCCATCACCTGCAGAATGCTATAACAAGGAAAGTTCAACACCAAAGCCTTCAAGGATGTGGATCCTGCTTTGTTGCCGAGGATGTTCATTTGTCTATCCGGGCAACCCGGTGGCCTCTCGCATTGCTGTCTGAAAATGGATGGACAGCCGAGTCTCCATAGCCCTGTTTTTGGAATAGAAGTTCCCTTGTACTTTCTACGAGCCCCCCTCCACGCTCGCCTCCCCATCAACGAGTATAAATAAATAGATCATTTGCGATGTCTGCCGTGATGCTTTCCCAGAGATCCCAGGCTGCGTTTGATGTTCTATAAGTTGTTTTAAGCCTATAACGCACCATCATGACCCTAGGTCAGCCATGGCGCACAGCTGTAGCAATAACCGTGGTGGCTCTTGCTCGCCTTGTGGCTGCAGATATCTGCTCGGTGATCAAGCAACAGGGCATAGAGATTCAAAAGCCGCTGAGTCCCGACTACTATAAGGACCTGACGAAATATTGGTCTGCTGCTTGTGGAGACCTGAAGCCGACATGTATCGCTGCTCCTTCGAGCGCCCTGGAGATGTCGGCGATTGTGAAGCAACTGCACAATTTTGACGACCTCTTCGCCGTGAAGTCGGGCGGACATATGCCCAACAATGGCTTCGCCAGCATTCAAGATGGCCTTCTCATCTCTACCAAGAACCTTGATCAAGTTATCTACAATCCCGAAGACCAGACTGCTATCATCGGCCCTGGACTTACATGGGAAGATGCTCAGAAAGGTCTCGATGGTACTGGGCGGACACTCGTTGGTGGACGTCTTGGTGGAGTGGGCGTCGGAGGATACATGCTCGGAGGCAAGTTGCAGTTCCTTGCGATGGTTGACATCTCACTGATTCGGCTAGGCGGGTTGAGCTTTCTGAGTTCACAGTATGGCTGGGCAGCCAACAACGTGGTCAACTTTGAAGTGGTTCTTGCCAATGGAACTGTGGTCAATGCCAACGCGAAGGAGAATACTGGTAAACAGAGCAGAATGCACGATTCTCTTTAAAACTGACCTGGGAATAGATCTCTTCGCAGCTCTTAAGGGAGGTGGTAACAACTTTGGCATTGTTACTGCATACACTCTCCAGACGCATCCTCAAGACCATAAGGTAAACCGTGTCCTATTATGTTCATACGAGGTATCTAAATAGCACAGGTATGGGGAGGAAACTATATCTTCACAGCCGATAAGACGCCTCAAGTCTTGAGCGCTCTTCGTGACTTCACCGAGCATTATCCCGATGACAAGGCCGCCATCATTGTGACTTGTGAGCATGGCTTGTTGATCCACACCTGGATCATGTTCCTCTTCTACGACGGACCTGAGCCACCAGAGGGTGTTTTTACCAACTTTACAGCAATCGGACCTACCGATACTACTAAAACGTGGGACAGCTACTATGACTTGGTTAGTAACCCTGCCGTCAGTCATCTGGAGTAGCTTATCTCATATTGAAACAGCTTAAACACAACGATATCTTCATTCTGCAGTAAGATGATCTTCTTAGTACTCGTGTCGGCTACTGACTTTGATTGCAGCGGCCAACGGTATACTGTTGCTACTGAGACCACTCCTCTGCCGAACAAGACCGTCGGCGCAGAGGTCATGCAAAAATACTACGACCACTGGTTTAATGTGACGAACACTGTACTTGAAGTGCCCAACGTGCTCGGGTCCATTGCATTCCAGCCAATGCCTCGGACTATCACCAGCAAAGCCAAAGCTAGAGGAGGAGTAAGCGCTGAAAGCCTTCATAGCATCTAAAACTGCGCTAACAACCCGCAAGGACCTTCTCGACTTTCCCACAGATCAAGACTATATTATCATTGAGCTGGACTTCTCCTATGCTTTTGCTGCAGATGATGCCAAGATTGATGCTGCCAATCAGAATCTCTACACGGGCTTTGACAACATTATCAGCGGCAACATTGACAAGGGACTGTTGCCTGATGTTTACCGGCCACTCTTCATGAACGATGCGTACTTCCGACAGGACTACTGGGGTCGTATCCGTACCAGGGAGCTGGCATTGCAAACCAGGATCAAGTATGATCCAGATGGGTTTTTCCAGAAGAGAACTAGCGGAGGATTCAGGCTTCATTAACGGTATGCTGGCTTATATTGATCTTGGACCATTCTGTCATATAATATCTTAGATTTAGGGCTTGTCAAGATCGACTGTGCCACCAACTGAACGCCCGTGACGTGTTTGGAAGACATAAACCGTACATAAAGCGATATCAGTGCAACATTCAATATCCCAAGCATTAAATCACAAACTTAGCTGTTGAGATTGAACCCTTCGACCATGTATTCATCCTCGCAGCCAGAGAGACATATCTTCCTACAAAGGACTACGCTGGTCCATCCATTAGAAGTCAATAAACCTGCTCAAAAGTCTGACATCAAATCTGGACCGCATGAGATAGATGATACGATCATTACCCTCTACAGTATGCAATCTTTGAACGTTCTCACGAGAGCACTAAACCTAGTGACGCTGAGCCACCAAAGCGCTGCCAAGGACAGGACCTGAAGTAAAATACCTCAAGCTTGATGATATCTAAGAGACGGGGACTTTGCTTCCTAGGTGATGCATCATCAAGCTTTCACACCATGGTTCGCTGTCGACATGGCCATCCCACTTTCGCGAGCGCCCATCTATGTACCGTCCTTTCAGTCATTCTGTCAACCAAAGCCGGTCCTGGGTGCAGCAGTGCTCAACGCGGAATCTCTGAAACTTCGCCATAGGCCTGAAATAATACACCTTCCGTAGTAGGTAGCAGCACACTCAAGGCCGCAATTTGAGTCAAACACTCCTCGGAACCATTTACCGGCTTGAGGACATTGGGCAAAATGGACAGGGAGAAAGGCCAGCACCTTCGCGTTTTGTTTTGCTCCTTTCACTTCTTTTTCCTTTCCTGTCTATGACATGTAGTCTGCTTTTGTTTAATGCCATGTCGCAGTTTCAGATAATAAAAATAGATCCTACCCTCCTCCTGAAAGAGCTCAATCAAGCTCGTCAGCACATCGCTCTGATTGGCTCCTAGACAATGCACATCAAGGCATGAAACGCGACATTTTCATTTCATTTCTCTCCCACAATAGATCTTCCAAGAGCCTCAGAAATCCCTCTCCTTGTCGCTGTATCAGGTTGAATTAAGCTCACCGGGCTGTTGGCTGAGATTCCCCCGGCGGAAGACAATGCGCTTTCTCCAAGCGCCGGGGTGGAGAACAGAGCGTGCACATCCCCGTCCCCATCCTCCGTTGACTTTTGCGTCCTAAATCCATAGCTGAAAGAAAGAGCCATGCTAGAGGCTCGTGCTTTGTCACTTATTTCATATATCTCAATCGGTGGTCTAGATCGGGACGACGATGGCGTCCATCGTCGACGAGTAGTGCTCCGGGCGCTTGTACGGATCGACGCTTTTGACGCCTCGCGCATGGAAAACCGCCCGTCTGGGACAATGGGGCTGGGTCTAGATTCTTGGAGGTGCTAAATTTATTTCTTGGTGATCGGTTGTTGATGTCTTTGATGCTGAGGATGCTTTGTTTCGCAGAGAGCGGTGGTGTTATAAAAGGGTTATTGTCCGCCGTGGGTGGATGAGAATATCAGAATCAGATCAGCTCTTTGTCTTTAGTTGTGCTGCATTGCATCATCGTTCTTCAGAGATATTATCTACATTCCTTTGGATTTTCATATTTCACTTTGGGTTCTTTATTATACATTCCTTCCGCGATTGGTCGTGTTCTCCCATCTTAACAGACATCTATCCACTACACTCCTTCGACACTATAGATATATCATTTGCTCAATCCCTACACAATCAACATGGCCAGATACGGCGCACTAGGTGCAACCTTCCAAATCGCCCGGATCGTCCAAGCTTGCTCTCTCATCGCCATCATAGGCCTAACAGCCAACTTCATCGCCGAGATCGTCTCGAAGAACGCAACGCCGCCGAGCGTCTTCATCGGCACAATTACCGTGGTAAGTAGTCGCTCATTCCCACATCCCTCATTCACAGAGCTAACGGAGCCTCGCCAGACGTGCATAGCAGTAATCTACTGCGTCATCTCCTTCATCCTCTTCCTGGATAACATCCTGCCCTTCCTCGCGAGCGCCATAATGGACGCACTGGTGCTTATCGCCGTTATCGTCGTGGCGGTCATCATCGGGAAACCACTCTCATACCTCGAGTGCGACGTGATCGGAGATCTGATGGGTGATGGATCGTCTGCGTATGCCTTCGCCACGAGCCTGGATAACTATCTGGACCACCTGGGCGGGAAAGTCGATTACAAGAACTGGATTGCGGCATCTAGAGGTGTGTGTCTGGAGGCAAAGTCAATCTGGGGGTTGAGTATTGCTTTGTGGTGAGTTTTATCTTCTTCTCCCTGACCCCGTTCTCGAAAGACCAAGCTGATGGATGAATGTTGTAGTATTTTGTTCTTCTTTTCGGCGGTCTGCTGCGTCTGTCTCTGGCGGCAGAAGAAGGCGACCGGTGGTGAGAAGCTGGATGGATAAAAGCCTCTTGCTTCGCTGATGCGTTCGTTCTCAACAAGGACAAAAGACGGCGGTATGACCGGGTGGAAATAATGGCTAATATGATTGACGGGTCTTTTCTTTTTTTCTGTTCCTGACTTATGTACTGGATCTGTTGCATGGCTTCCTAGCGCTACTAAGGTATAATTGAAGTATCTGTCTGTTACATATATATCAGCAATCGTCACCAATATCCAGAGACTCAAGACTTACCTCTCCTCCATCAAGCAGACACCCAGGGTATCTAAACATCACATCCTCCCCCTCAATCCCAAGGAATCAAAAACAGACAACACCTCATCCCGAACTAACAGGCGGAATAATCGCGACCTCATCCCCAGCCCCAATCACCACCTCCCCGTCGGCCTCAACATCCACATACTCCTCTCCCAGACTCACCCCACAGCTAACCAACACCTTGTCCCTGATACCGGGGTATCGTTCCTCGAGGACATCAAAGAGCCTGGACAGTGGAAGAGGGGCTGGAAGCGTCTCGGTCGCTTTATTTGTGTAGGATGACGCGCTGGAGAAGTAGTGGATTTGGAAGGCTGGTTGTGTTTCTTGGGTGGTCATCCTGAGAGGGTTATTGTGTTGCCGAGGGAATCCGTTTACGGTAGCGGGTGAGAGGGCAGGTTTTTGCTCGCTGGGATTGTCGGTAAGGATATGAAAAATGAAAGAGGTTGATGCTCTTTCGGTCTATTTTGGGATCGTGAGGACGCCGCCGAGTGATGAAGAGAAGATTGGAGATGGAAGTGGTGTGGGGTAACTCTTATCGCCAGTCGCGACTCCACACCTCGGCATCACACAGTACTGTACACAGATCTAAGAGTACAGCAGGGCAGCCAAAGGTTTTATACCACGGATAGCGAAGATGTGCAGGCTATTATTCAGTTGCTTCTTAGAAGATGTGATGAGATCACGAGCCCGATAGTTGGGTCATTTATATATAGAGACTAGCGACACCAGTATTTATTTTGGTCCCAGTGAGCGCGCTGAAAGCACTCACAAGATCGCTCTTGAGATCCTCCCAGTTCTCCAACCCTACACTGATCCGAAGCAACCGACGATCTACTGTTGCATCGGTCATTGTCCGCCACTCGATCAACGTCTCCACCCCACCAAGACTGGTAGCGTGCTGGAAGAACGAAAGCTTGCTGGGCAACTTCCGCGCATAATCCTCCTCCTTCATGGTGATGGAGAAAACAGGCCCGAAGCCATTGGGCATCTGTTTCAGTAGCCACTCCTCGTCCTCTTTCTGGAGACTCGCGTGGAAAACTTGCTCGAGAGCAGCCTGCGTGACGGCTTCATCGCTACCCGGTGCGGGATTCTGCGCGCGCAATGCCTTGTCCAACCACGAGACCAAGTTCGCCGCGTTCGAGCTCTGGCGTTGAACGCGAATCTCGAGGGTGCGCAGACTGCGGACACCGAGCCAACTCTCCATGTTACCCATCACGCTGCCCAAGAATAATCGATCCTGGAAGAGTTTCTTCGCCCAATCCTTGCGCTGTGTTGCAAGGACACCGCAGAGAACATCGCTGTGCCCGCCAAAGTATTTGGACCCAGAATGCATGATAAGATCGGCACCCCAGATGAAGGGGTCTTGTAGGCCTGGCGGTGCGAATGTGCTGTCGACAATTAGGTACGCGCCTCTAGAATGAGCCTTGTCCGCGTATGCTGCGATGTTGAAAGCAGTTCCTTGCGGGTTTACGGGCGTCTCCAAGAGAATAACGTCTCCGGCCTCCAACTGCTCAGCAGGGCAGTCGAGATCTAGTTTCTGGAGTCCAGTCAGGCGGCCGAACATTTCGATCACACCGTGGCACCCATGGTAGCCATTACCGATGGCGATTCGCCGAGGATTCAGCAGAACAAGCGCGGCGTTCAAGGCGGATAGTCCCGAGGAATAGCTGATTGCTTCGCCGTTGAGGAGCGACGATAAAATGACTTCGAAACGGGTCGGGTTGGGTGCGGAGAGACGGGAATAGACATGGCTGGTTTTTTCTTGATCATACTAGAGTACGAATTGACAATGTCAGAGCAAGGCCAAATGTGCACGGAAAGGATTAATCAAACTGTTGTGACATACGCCGCTGAGATCCGTGAGAGGTACCAGTTCATCCGGATTGTCGGAGTATCGGAAGGTTGTAGAGACATGCAACGGTGGAGCAACGTCGGTAACTACATTGAGTTCATCATCTGCGTGCAGAGAGCGCGTAGAAGCGCCAATTGCTTGATTGGAATGAGCCATCGTGATGTTTCTTAATTACAGCATGTTGTGAATACAGAAAAGAAGACCGTCCCGTCGCAGCAGCGGGGGTTGTCAAATGGCCGACTGTCGGCGAACCCCACAGCAAGACTCACACGTGACGTCAAAGCGGGCGTACTGTGGACCTGTATATTGCGTGATAGCCAGATTGGAGACGAAGGAACCGGCCAATAATAGATGGAAAAAGGGGGTATATTGCGATAATGGCAACTGGTACGTCGACTCAATAATGTACATATGGCGAAAGACTTCGTAACCCATGGATCACCGCCGAAGGGAGCCCATCTTTGATTGCTCACGGACTGTTCCTGGTACTGCAGCTTGGAAAGCTGAACGATCTATTGATATTGTTAGCGTCGAACGCAACACTGAGACACATGAGAGAGCATACCAGCTTCGGAGTCAAAGGCAATCGTTATATCGTCATGTTCACTGGGATAATCTAGCATATCCAGACAGACAAAGTCCGAAGCGGGATCATCTTCGGTTTTCGGGAGCGCAAACTTGGCGTCAACAAGTCGAACCCAGAATTTGCCCGATCTTCCAAAACTTTCGAGCGTATCCGTGCCCTTGAGTACAAAGTTCATGCATCGTCCATGGTTGAAATCGGCCAAGAAAGCGACCAGCTGTACGACTTTCTCTTGTTGAACGATTTGTATGCGAGCCAAACTCGCTTCCCACTTTTTGTAGATCGGGACTACCATTCTGCGCCGGGAGATCATAAACGAGGAAGCGAGGCTAATATCTGCAGTGAGTACGGGCGGGTGGCTATCTGGTAGATGGGCGTAGAAGTACATACCCGTCAAATAAAACGTTGAACCCCGTTACAGCTGCCTGGAAAGTATGAAGATCTAGAAAGGGAAATTAGCATATTGCTGCGCCTAAAGGACTATCGCAGGACATACCCTTCAGAGAGGCAAATTCAAAGCGTCGAACCATGGGCTTGACCATGGCAATCTGCATGAAATTGGCTATCTGGTCTGGCACCTCCGCAGGCACAAGATTTTCGGCTATTGAGACTGTCAAGTCTTGTTGCGCTGGTCTATATAAACTGAAACCCGTCCTGTTGTTGATGTCCAAACCCAGTTTTAGTTCACCAGGACCTGGAGGGAGAGTCAGTGGATCTCTAGAATCGTTGACACGAGTTGCGCATACCTAAATTCAGGCGATCTGTCACAGAACCCCACTCCGTTGCGATAAAAGCTCGCAAATGCTCAGATAAGACGGTAGGACCATAGCCATGGTCCACATAAGCACGTTCTTGGTCAATCACTGACACGTTACCGGCGGGAAACTCGAGATGAACCTTAACTGGCTGGCCATTGAACTTGTCCGCGGGTTGCTCGATACTGTAGGCTCGTAGGGATATGTCCGGTATCTTGAATTCCCGATCACTTGTGGTCATCCCCAAGAGCAGGGCATGCATGGTGTTTCGGCCCTGGACCTCTTGAAACGTCATCACCATGGACCGACTCCTTCCGTCTTCTTTCACCTTAAGCATAAGCGCGGGAGCCCCATCTTCTCCTCTGAGCAGTCCGAAAATAATCGGGGCGCCATGTCCAATAATATGGCGGACACTGCTCAATGTCTTCACCTTGGGACTGGTAAGTACTGTCAACCGAAAGCCTCGATGAGCGCTCCGGGAGCCCGTGCCTTCGGTCACCGTTGCTGAACGCTCAAATAACCGTAGCCGACAGCGCTCCACAGGGTCCGAAGGAAAAGCCTTAGGAGTCCCCGAGTCCATATACTGGAAGTTCTTCAACGTGTATTCGAAGATGACGGTTTCGCCAGCTTCTGGCTGAAGGCTAGCCTCGGTTCTGAGCGTATAATGGACAATGTTCCAGAGATTCTTGAAATCTTCATCTTGAAACGAAACATCTAACTCGAAGCCACGCGGCAGTCTAACCCGCATGGAATGCGACCTGACATGCCATTCCACATCATCCCAGGTGGGCCCTTTCTTTCTGTCCGACTGGATCATGACATTGACCAATTCACTTTGGCTTGTAATTGCTGCGAATACGTACCAGTCTCCGCGGTCACGTAGTATAGACAAAGCACATGGTATTGAAAATTGCTCCTGCGAGTCGTCTTCCTGTGAACTGATGCAAGCCTCCACAAACATACTTCCATAGCTGAAATAACGGCTCGTATCACCCAGCGGCATCATCTGAATAATGCTTGGGCCCTTTCCGGAGTTGTCCACCAAAACAGACCTTGTTGCTGCTCCAGATAGTACCGCTGAGACGTCAGGGGCGAAAACCGGGTACCTCACCCACACATTCATGTCAGCTTGGACAGCCGCATCGCCTTCAGCAGCAAGTTCAGAAAGAATATCATTTCTCCTGATTGACATCGCTAAAGAGCGCAAGTGACTCGTAATCGCTTGGTGCAGGGAGAGACAATCTGCCAGATGTTTATCGCCAGTCGTGCTTGCCACAGCAATAATTGCATCAATCCCCCTAGTACCATATCGAGATAGTTCACTGTGCTGTGGGACGACGTTCTCACAGATCCACAAGGCTTTGCCAAGGTCCACCACGGCTTGTTTGGCGTTGCCCAGGGGGCTCCCCTGGGGTGTCCTCCCCCCAGAACCGGAAGAGCGAGATCGTGCGTAAGCTTCAAGCTTCTTCTTCCCACGCAGGAACCACCATACCGCTGCCCTTATCCATTCAGCCAGAGAAATTTCCATCGAAGGCTTCCCACTCTCTGCTGCAACGCGGATTAAAGGAGAATACTGTGCAACGTACGCCTTGAGATCCGTGAAGGCAGTATCACTTACTTGGCTAGCTAGGGATCGTAGGGAAGCTTTCGGTAACTGTGCCCCGTGAGTCGTGTCGCGCTCGTCTCGGCTGACTGGATGATTTTGTACAGGGTCTCGGGGAATCGGCTGCGGCTTGGGAGGCGAAAGACTCCGTAGTTCAGGGCCAGAGGTGAGAGCAGCAGGTAAGTTCAGTTCAATAGGACTCGTGCCGCCCTGCTTGTGTGTGCTTGAGCTCGCGGGAATTCGAAGGGTCAACGCCGGGGGGCGAGGCTCAGTCTCCGAAACAGGCGGTGTTTCATACAGCGAGTTGGGGCTCTCGGGTGAGACTGCGGTGGATTTCTTCTCAGTGCGTGGTCCATCCTCTTCTGGCGAGGAGGGATAGTCTTGACAACCATGCTGCAGAGCACGACCCTCCTCAGCTTGCATCTTCGCCCGAACACGCTGAGCAAACGAGTTGGACTCAGGTGATGCTCGGAACGAAAGACGAGAACCCGCACCACCAAGATTCAATGTCAACAAGAATTCAGAGTCTTGAGGGCTCTGGATGAGTAATGGCTTCCAGTCCGCTGTGTTGATCCCTTCGCTTGTATCCTTCCGTTGAGGTGTTCTCGCCTGCGATACACCATCCGCGGCTCCCAACGAAGTGTCAACCTGGAGTTGAGGCGTCTTCGAATCATACTCAGCCCGACGCCCACGGTTCAACGATATTTCCATCGTAGGAGCCTCGGTCTCGTCACCACCTTCCCCTATCACCTCTGGATCTTTATCGGAAAATCGGACCTTGAGACCCTTTCGCGCGCGGGTCTTCCGTGGTGGGGATGGAAAGCTCGTCGGAGGGTAGATCTCGGTTGCGGAAGCAGGATCGGAAATTGGAGAAGCAGCGTTCAGGACATCTTGAGCCGAAGGCCATCGATGGGAGGCGTCCAGGCGGGGCTTTTGATGCCCTCGAGCCGTTCCATTGGCTGAATTTAAAGCATGCGATACGGATTTTGAACGAACTGGAGAGAGAAACGCTTCAATTTGCTGGTCCGTCGTGGAGGGATTGATGTTCTTCTCCTTGTCCTTCTCCCTCTCTTTCGAGAATAGCTTCTCTCTCCAATGCGGCTTCTTGACGGCAACCGGCCTGGGCTCTTTTTCAAGGAAAGCAAAGGGATCCCTTGTAGACATTTTTATCGTTTCTAGACTTGGTCGATCGCGCGGGATGATACTAGAATGCTATAAGCATCGCAGGCGAGGTAGATACCCGCACAACAGAAGCTATAAAGTCCGTGAGTATACCATGCCCCACCACATTAGTTTCTAGCGACTCTCGTGCGCAGACCGCAGATCAACAGGAGTCGGTCAGATAAGTGAAAAACAACAATGGTGCAAGAGTAACCGATCGTGTGGGGGAATTGCGATAAGGAAGAATAGGTGGATGAGCCAAGTTCAACGAGACTTCCACACGTAGGCTTCTGGAGAGAATTTTTTTATTCCAGCAGATGAGAGAGTTTGGCAATAATAAGCTGCAAAAGGCTGCCTAGTCACAAATAAACAGGTGCCACTCGTGGAGGGAGGCGCGATTGCGTTTCGTTGTCTGGTGGAGTAGGGGACCAGCGATCTACCAACATAATTAAATAAGCATTCAAGAAGTGACGAGTGAGAGGCGCCAGCGAAGAAGAAGGGGCTTTCAGAACATTTTGCGAGATCCTCGGAGTACTTGCCTTTGAGATCAGAAGAGCAATAGCTGAAGCAACTCGATAAAAGCAAGTAAACTCCTATGTCCAAAATGAAGAGCAATGACAATCTGGCTTTGTTTAAATGGAAGAACGGTCACGCAGGCTGCCAAGCTGGACCAGCAGCTCCTTGTCTACTATCCAGTGGATTTTCCAACTCTAATCGGAAGCCTAAAAGATAGGGGGGAAGAAAGAAGAGAAAGAAAAGAAGAAAGAAAGACAAGTTAGATAACAGGAGGAAGGATTATTGTAACAGCAGTAGTCCACTTGACATGGTACCACTCCCTTGAGCGCTTGGTGTCGTCAACCGAGGACGGGTACCTGTGTTTCTCCGCAATGCGCCCCAGCGGTACTACGTGGATGCACTCTACTTCAGATCTGAAGGAATCAATCATGAATAATTCGTAAACCTTTCTCATGTCCCGGTAGAAAGGTCTGTTCATAGACCATCTTCAACAACAGCGCAACGAAGATTGGAATCATTGATCAGACGGTATATAGACTCAGACATTGGTACCATTGCACAACGCGCAAAGGCAAGATAACAGCGACAACAAATCAAACAGATCTGTAAGATAGTCTACCACGTACTCCATAAATAGAGACCCCTAAATGGTCATGAGGACTGAGGCGAATCCTCCGTAGATATTATCTAATTTATTTGAACTTGAAGGAGCAAGCCATAAAAAGTACTACACGCCATTTGGTAAACTATACCCTATCATAGGATTAAGTCTGGGACGCATGAGACATTGATTCAAATCCAAGGCTGATAAAAGCAACCCCCCTGGCTCTCCAAGGAACACATAGACATAATAGACATGGTCTGTGGCCAAGGCCAATCAAAATGATCTCTGGGATGTCCCCACCAGCACATTCCGTTGTTAAAGAGCTCAAACCTTCGTCTTGAAACGACACTAATCCTATAGGAGCTGGGCCCCGCAATACCCTAGGCTATTTCTGGTCAGACATGGTGGCTGCTCGTGGGTCGTTGACAAGCACCCTATGATCCTCGATCCTTGAGCCGTGTTTTGGAGAAAGCCGCCCAGCCCCCCGATGCTACCATGCTAGGGGGTTCACTAACGCTCGGAGTATCAAAGCGCCACTGACACGATTCCCAAGCTCTTATCATTCTTGGATCTCCAGGCACACTTCCAAAGATCGGTTGAACAATGTATGGAGACAACACTTGAATATTCAGCTATGAATCTTGGATAAGTAAAGAGGTAAACTTTAGCCGAGTAGCCGGCGATTATCTGTTAGGCTTGAGTTTATCTAGGCTTTCGCTAGCGTTCCTGAGGTGTCTTACAATTTCAAACTATTCTCTGCAGGATGCGCGCCATGTGTATCTACTGTACAAGGCTATCATATTATTCCCAATTATTATTGTGAACTATTTACCAGTTTTTCACTTCACTGAACGACAAGGCCGGATACACCCTTCAAGGCTTCGACCCCTTCCTGGTTCAATAATGATCGGCATTGATGCACATGCTGTGATCTTCATCAAGCATGTCGATGAAATGATCTCATTCCACGTCAGCTGTAGCGTGTAAACTGAAGACACGTCAACTAACTATTGCTGGATCGCCTGCTATGACTTGTGCTTTTCTTGCTTTCTCGCGGCGGTAATTCCGTTATCTTCCAGACAGCAGTAGTAAGAGGTATTGCGCTTTATACATCGTCGCCAACGAGATATATCACTGGATTTGATAGGCTGCGTCGTTGAGAATGTCAACTCTCCTCGGAATGCAGCATTATTAGCTCGCTATAGGATCGAGATTTGCTGCGGTAAAGCTACGAATCCTGCATTTACACATGACTATTAGACTATTATTTCTCGAATCCTAGTTGTCGCAAGAGTGACGAGTTGCCTTTAATTGTCTGGCTGAGACCAACGCAACCACTAGCCCAGACCGAGATAGCACATGCCAACTACTGCTAAGTTCTAATGCCTGAATTCAACTGAATTGTCATCCCCAATATTGTAAAAGTCCTCTTAGCTATGATCTATCTAAAGAACTTTCTGGATGGAGATCCCACTATACAATATCTGCTTTTATACGCTATCCGTGCTTCACGACCATCAGTTCTCGTGCTTATGCCAACCGCCGGCCGCCGTGGACGGTAAGTTGTCGAGTGTCGAATTTCCCGAAGTAGCGGTAGTACAGAGGTACTTCAGCCAAGCTCAACATTCAAGACATTGTCTCGGGGAGAGTCGAGCATACCAAATCACAAGCCGAAGGCTTTATGCAGCTAAATTCTTCTTCAATACGTCCAGTTATGGTCAGTCAAGATTTAGATAGACCTCAAGCTCGGTTCTCCTAACCCTAGGAATGCTCATTGTGTCTTAGCTAATGGCGAGGATTGCCAGGTGGTCTACTCCGTAGAAGGAGATGTTGCGGTATTCATATATTTTGCAAGGATCGTCATTTTCCTCGAGTCTCTTCCGAACACTATTGACTGGCGAAGCGTGATATGGCAGAGCTCATTCTTTAAAATTATTCTACCCCTGCAATAAGTCCTGATCATCAAAGGGAAATACTAGGATGATTTTTATAAAGTTTCATAGTCTCTGCGATATATATCACCGCTGCCACGTGCAGGTCTCAAGGTCAGAGCTCGTGCCTAGGTAGATCAGGAGAATTTGCCAATTTGATAGGTGAATTGGCACAAGGGCAGCATTGGCTCTGCCTTTGGCCATATGTTGGAGGTGCGACCTTTTCTTGCCAGTCAATGAAGGCCAGGAGAAGCCGAGGAGGTGAGAACAATATAGGCGCTACTACAAAATGCTGTAAGTTGTGGGTAGCACTTGAAAATCCTGCAATTTAGATAAGTTTCAAAGTGCATGCTATTCCTGCAAATGTTATATTTGCATGTGTTCATGGGTGTGGCTGGCCAACTGCCACAGCTCGCCCTCGTCTCCCTGACTTGAGATCGGAAGAACGAAACGGAACGGTTAGTGTTTCATCTACCTCAAGTTGTCTAACTCGTCTTCTTCATAAAGTACTGCAACGGACTAGACTTAGTCGCTATCTCAGTTTTCATTGAATAGTCTCCTGAAGGGCTATCGTCCTCCTGAGAATCCCTTTTGAGAGAACCAAGAATCAGACTCAACAGCCTGAGATCACTCCTCTTCCGAATAGTGAAAGAATACTTTGCTGACTTCGACGATACTAGTCGATGTTTCACCATGATCTCTTATGCAGGACGTGACCTTCAAACCACCTTTCCCGTTCATCACAAACTCTCCCAAGCTGAGGAGATGAGAATCGAGATTTGAGTCAAGGAGATCTGGGCCGAACTTCTGATGCAGGAATTGCAACACGCGTTCAACTGGTCCAACATGGCAATCTCGTCTCCAGACTCCCATATTGTTCCTGCGCATGAACCGATATGATGTACTCCTTGCGAGTCGACAGCGATCCTTCACACGTAGGTACAGTTCAGGAAGCTGACCGCATACGAGGATTCTCCGTTTGCGGTGGACCGCCTGATTTTGTACGCGTCTTACGCGAGTCCATCAACATCTTCATGAACTTCGGGCCATTATCATCACTTATGCTGCAAGGAGGGCAATTTACCGGGCAATCCACTGCCCAGTACGCCTTGAATTTCCCCAGCAGACTATCATGTCATGCATGAACTTGCCCGATGATAATGACGTGGTAGACCACACAGAGCACACCTTCTTGAGTCCAACATACAAAGGAGCCACTGGCGGACAACCAAGTCTACAGGAATCTTTCTGAATGGTTGGTTGAAATGAATCAGATGCTCATACAGAGCTCAATTGAGTTGAAGAACTATTCGAGAACTGACGGTCATTGTGCCTCATCAAAGCGATCAGGCTTTCAGGAGACCATGGGTGCTCCTTTGCTCATGATGTAATCCAGGACACAATATACCAACATTTCCCCTTACGCACTGCACCGATATCCAAATATATCCATGGTACGACCTGTGGATGCAAGGAGGGGCACTTGAAGACGATATCAGCCCTTCGCAACCCCTCTTCAAGTTGGGGATCGAACAATAAGTATTCCTGGACTCCCAAATGGGCGCCGTCCAGCTGGATTGCATGAATACGAAAGACGTCAGCACAGCAGATGCTGTGCCACTGGAGATCCTCGTTGATGGTGGTGTGCCTTCAACATGGAACTCAAGTGGGTATTCGGGCGCCCTCTAAAATCGCACAAATCTCACAAGGGAAAAAGCATCAAAATGGATAGTAATTCAAGGATAACAGTACATGATGAGAGCTGCCTACTACTGTATATTTTGTTGAGAATTCCCATAGCAGAACATTTGCTTGACTGCGGTCCGCAAACACCAGAGCTGCTGATAAAAGGGTGTCCAAAGTACCATGTGCGACGCGGTACAAGAGACATATATGACGGCTGTGAAACTACGTATTACAGCTTATCTGGAAAATCGAGAATCTATCTGACT